AGACGCTCAATTGCGCCCTTTGTTTTCCCACCATCGAGGGAAGAGAAGAACTCGGCCGCCGCATCTTGATCCCTCTTACTTGCACTCTCGGTGAGGTACAGTGCCTGCATGGCCGCCTCTGCTAGCACAGGCTCCGACGGATAACCTGTGTGCAGATACTCTCGATGTATCGGGGCAGAATAGGCAGTACGCATATGGCTGGAGATCAGGTCCTCCATCAGCGAAACTGTTTGAGCTCTGAAAGGGTAGAACTCCAGGTTTAAGATGGTGTCGAGGATAGCCAGCTTTGCATGCGAGTTCAAATCTGAAATGTGGGCCGAGTTGGTCAACTTTTGCAGAGCAAAGATCCTGATTTTTGCATGAGGAGGAGATTTTGGAGAGCTCTGCCGAGCTGCTTCAAGCATAGACCAAAATCTGATTTGGCAAGTGAGATGAGCAGTGCATGAATGACATTAGACAGAGATACGCACAAGGGACGCCCAAATCGGGCAATGAAGCTGAAATCCTGCACGTCCTTGAGAGTCAAGTCCCCCAGAGACGACACCGGCAATGATGGATGACAGTCAAAAGGCATTTCAGTGTAGGGGGGTATGAGATCGCCGGCCACAACGGTCCTATTAGACTTTCAAGTTTAGTTCGGGGGGCAAGTTGGCGCATCCGTGAAACTGTAGAGAGGAACAAAACAAAGAAGCCCTCAGGGTACTCGGATACGGCCGTGGTGAAGAGGTCGTAGAGTGTTAAGTTGCGACTTGAGTTTATGGCCCGGACGTCGAGCTCGTGGGCTTCGTCAACATACATCACAACCAACGGAGCTTTTCCTTTAGCAACTGGGATCCGCCTAATGAGCTCCTGCAAGGCTGTTACTGCATCGCTCTTAGCTGATGATGGTAGGTCCATTCGGAATCGTGGCTCGACATCACGAATAACGCTGGAATAGAGTTCGGACCTAACACCACCCTCCAGCAAATGCTTTCGCCATTGAGTAGCAAAATCTTTGGCTTGGATGTCCGAAGCCCAGTCAATGGAATTCAGTTCTGCCACAATCCGTTGGAACAAGGTGCAAAAGAGCATGTGGAACATCGTCACTACGTCGTCGTCAGAAGTCGCTTTGGCCATTGACAGTATCGACTTCGCAATGCATGTGTCTGGAAGAGGGTATGCGCCTGTTCGGACAGTTTAATGGTCAAGAACGAGGACTCGAGAAGCGGCGCTACATACCTTGTTGAGTTTCAGCTTCGGCCCGAAGGTTCATTGGTATAGTGAACACAAGCTTGGCAAGCTCGTCGACCGTACGAGACTTTCCGTATCCAGATGACTGGATGATGGCCCCAGTGTTGCAATAAGGCGATCCACGTGGATCGGATTGGATGTTGCTGAGCAGGGTTTGATGAGTTGATCCCTGGTATTCCTGGGTCCATGCCGCTTCAAGTTCTGGATGCAGTGCTTAAGAAGTGAAACCATGGACAGAAAATGATTATGAGCCGAACCTTTGCGCAGCTCTGGCGAGAGTGAGGGAGGTCGCTGGTGGTTTCCAGTGCCTGGCATTGTTCGTCAAGCCAGGAACAGCGAAAATAATACGCGATGCTCACCAGTGGGCGCAAGTGCAATAACATGGACTTTATCCTTTGGCAGATCCTTGAAGATGGCTGAGATCTCTGCGAGCGGTGAGGAGAGCTCCTGTGCGGCGTCGATCTTTCTCGGATCTCGCGCTTGCTCCAGGTCGGCATCGGAAAGCGAAACCTTGAAGAGTCGTATTGCCTTTGAATCGATACTCGAAAGTGCCTGGCTCTCCCCTTTGATAATGCCCCTGAGGATGCTGACATTCTTGTTCGAGGAGATCTCAACTGTGAATATCTTGTCAGGGTCGTCACCAGAAATAAGGCAGTTGATAGCGATAGTCGACATAATGGAGGTGAGAAGTAATTGGAGGTGGAGGACGTATATGTCGAGTCGCTAAAATTCGAGCAACATGTCACGTCACGACTCGGTGTTAGGTTTTCACTTTCCGCCCCATGCACGTGATCCATTAATTCTTATGTAACGCTTGAACAACTCCGCTCGGCATGTTGTCGGCTGGCCCGCCCATACAGTCAAACCCCTCTTAACCCATACCTCTCGTAAGCCATACACCCCCATAACCCATAGGTTTTGGCCGCTATCAAACCGAAATTTACACCAAAATTGACCCCTCATAACCCATAACCTCCCATAACCCATACTCTGGGCCGTCCAGCGAGGGGTATGGGTTAAGAGGGGTTCGACTGTAGTTGCGTCGCTTGGTCAGCAGAAGCAATGGCTTCTGTGATCGCAAAATACGGCACGCGATAAACACGAGTTTTTCTCCGCATGCTTAGCACCTCACAACAACGAAAGCTGGGTTCGACTCCCAGACAGAGAGAAACATTTATTTTTTTCATTCTCGTCTTCTCTCTCATCTGTGAACGTATAGTACCCTGAACAGCGTTGGGGGTCATTAACGTTGAACCTTGGATGATAAGCAAGGCGCATGGGTCGGAGATCCTTGCCACCGAAATGCGTATTGTAGTGCGGAATGACACCATCTCCTGCGCAGTGCTTATCATTGAACCTGCGCAGCGAACTACCAAATAGCCGCCCAAATTCTTATTCCTCCATATATCGACGTACATAGATCTCGACTGCCATAAATTGGGGGAATCCGATGCACCCAGACTCCACCAGTGCACCAATGTTCGACCTCCCAAAGAACTCTCTCCGCCTACGCGCCTTCAATGCAGAAAACGACCTAAGCAAACTTCTGGACTTAGAGGCCGACCCGGAGGTTGCCAAGTTCTCTAGCATATACTTCCTCGTTCCACAAAACCAGAGGTGGGATGAAGAGTGCCTGAAGAAGCGCGTGTCTTCCATCGAGAACAACTTCGAGTTCTTCTGCATCGTCGAGACTATCCCTGCTACTGGGAGCACTCAGGAGCCCGAGTTCGTTGGCATCGTTGGGTTGCGGGCGGATGGGCGAGATAGGGGCATGCGCCACACTACGCTTAGCATTGGCCTGGCGAAGAAGTTCTGGGGAAAGGGATATGGGTCAGAAATTTTGGAGTTTGTTGTGGATTACGCCTTTCGTCAGCTGAACATGCACCGCATCACGCTGGAAGTGTACGAGGGGAACTATGGCGCGCTTGCGGTGTATAAGAAGTGGTATGTAAGATTTCTCTGGAAGTGCCCCTGGGGACTGTTCATTGACGAAGATGACTTTTTTAGTGGATTCATTGTTGAGGTAACGCATAGGAAGAAAGTCTGGTATAACGGAGATTGGGGGAGTACGATCTTGATGGGCATCCTCTTGGAAGACTGGTTGACCAAGAACAAGACTGGTCTTGGACACGCTGCAACACCGGAAAGCAAGACTGTCATGTAAGTAGTCATGGGATGAAGGAAACACGAGGAGAAGAAACCACCGAAGATGGAGCGGATTACTTTGAGTAGGCTGTAGGATAGACTATATGACTCACAGCGGTCTCAAAGAGCCCGTAAGGGATGCTCGTGAGCTCGCGTCCTCGAACTACGCTCCCAGCTTCGGGACAGAGTCAATTTCTGACTGACGCCCCCACTTGAAAAGGGACATCATGATGAACATCAGTACTTCTTCAACTTCAACTTCAGATCGACATACCTGCGCACTTCACAATGTTTACTCTCCCCGAACTCGAGCTTCGACTGCGCCCGTTCCGGCATTCCGACCTCGATAACCTCTACAAACAAGAGGTCGACATAGAAGTAGCTCCCCTGATGACGAAGCGCTTTATCACCCCACGCAGCGAGAAGTTCAAAGATGAATTGAGAGACGAAGCGGAGAAGGAGACAGAGATGTTTTGCATCATCGAGACGATTCCACGAGAGGCAGCGCCCGAGTTCGTCGGCGCGACGGCCCTCTGGAAACGAGGAGAAGCGGGCATGCGGCACACTGCTTTCTTGATCGTCCTGGAGAAGAAGTTCTGGAACAAGGGTTACGGCAAACATATAACGAAGTTCATGGTCGACTACGCGTTTCGCCATCTGAACATGCATCGGATATCCCTGGAGGTGTTCGAGGGGAATCACGGTCTATCGGAAGTGGTGAGTATCCTCTGAGTCTTATTGGCCCGTTTGGCGATAAAGTTTATTTAACGCATTCGGACGTCCGCAGTGGGTTCGTTCTCGAAGGAGCACAGAGGAAAGCACATTGGAGCGATGGGAGGTGTAAAGACATCATCCAGATGGGGATCTTGATTGACGATTGGCTGGCCACTCAAAATGCCGGGTCCGAAACAGTTGCATTAATGACATAGAGGAGGCTGCATACGTCGTAGTCGTCGGGTGGCAGGGCCATTGACACTGGCATTACTGAAGGTGGCGTCAAAATGTCGTCTTTCACGGCTGTCATGTGAAAGCAACGGGGCTGTAGAACCAGAATTGCTGCTAAGCTCCAACCTCCGTCATGAACGCGACTTCTGCACGGTGAGGCGATCGTCAACGCGCAGCTTGTCGGATTGTTATCAGACGCAGCCCGGTCAGATGAGCTCCGACAACTTGACTCACCACCATCCTTCTTGCCTTGGAATATAGCGTCTGAAAAAGGGGACGCGAGTGTTGAAAATCCTTTGGGCTCTACCCAGCGTACACTTCCACAATGTTCGACCTCGAATGCTGCGTCCGTCTCCGTGAATTCCGACCAAAGGATGACCTCAACAGAATCCTCGCTTTATACCACGACACTCGCGTTGCCCCTCTCATAACCGAGCAATTCATCGTCCCGCGCGGCGAGAGGCTGAAAGACCAGTACAAGGAGATCATCGCCAACAGCGCCGAGATGTTCTGCATTATCGAGACCATCCCCAAGAAGACAGCGTTTACCCTAGCTCCTGAAGGAGACACTCCGCAGGAGAAACCGGCAGAGAAACTGGTCAAGGATGAACCCGAATTCGTTGGCTTCACGGCGCTGTGGCAATTTCCAGAGCGTGGCCATCGACTATCGACTTTCTCCCTCGTCTTACGGCCCGAGTTCTGGAACAAGGGGTATGGAACCCAGATTACGAAGTTCGTGGTCGACCACGCGTTCCTGTACCTGAATATGCATCGTATAGGGTTGGAGGTCTATGAGGGGAATGAGCGAGCGATGGCTGTATACAGAAAGATGTAAGTTGGGGTTTGGTGAGGAAATGAATGGATGCTGACAATCTTTGTTTGCGTGTAGAGGCTTTGTTGATGAAGGCCGTCAACGAAAGACGCGGTGGGTTGACGGAGGGTGGAAAGACACGTTTCATATGGGTATTTTGGTGGACGATTGGAAGCAAACCCGAGAAAATTTGCTTCAAAATTAGTGCATACTACCATCACATCGGGTGATATAAATTGAGGGCTAAGGATGTCCGATGTTTAAGATAGGAGTCAGAAGTATGAAGAAGGGAGTCATGAAGCTTGAAATGTCGGTCGTTGTCGAAGTTGACGTTGAACGTTGAAGAACGTTGAGAGCTTCGGACAAGGAGCACTCAGTGGATCACTCTCTCGAACCTCCGACGGTAACTCCGACGGGACGGCAACGTCAACTCCGATTCTTCACTCCTCCCACCATCGTCAAACCAGAGAATAATGCCACTTTGCAAGCGTGGAAGATCTACGGAAGGCCACCAGGGTGGCATTCGGGGCATCTTTCAGCTTCTACCAGATATCTATTTACCGATGCCCGCTGGATCTGGAGCTCTGCGCACAAATTAATGATTCTCGTGGTCAGAACGGTTAAATTCTTTCCAAGAAACGGCAGAAATTTCGAATTTCTCCATCCCCAGAACGACCGTCAGGCCACAGAAGTTGTTTCTGCCCGTATTTCAGTTGCCGACTCGACGCGTCACAATAGGCCGAATGCCCTCAGGTTGACGTCTGGTTGATGTCAATCTTTGTCAGACAGACTTCTGCGGAGGCTCCTTGGCATTCAGCTTCAAGTTCTACCGTCGACCACCGTGAATAGCACTAGACTATGCAGTCGCCTTCAGTTCACTCAATTAACGGGCTGTCTCCTGGCTGTGTAATTTCGTCCTTGGCGTCGAAGAATACAGCGGCAACGCCATGCCGGGATGAATGCGTAAGGTGAGCACTGCGTTGAAATACGATGACGTGTAGATGTCTAAGACGATAAATAGCAACCCCCTTCATGTTCGAAGCTTAAACGCGTCGACGGACTTCCCCATCCAACCAGCAATTCGAAACCATCATGACCACCCTCATCACTGGCGGCACAGGCAAGACCGGATCCGCACTTGCGCGCCTCCTGCACGCTACCGACCACCCCGTTCTCATCGCCACTCGCCGAGGCGCTGCCCCAGAGCCGTTCAAAGCGGTGACCTTCGACTGGCATAACCCGAGCACATTTGAGAACCCATTCAAGACTGACCCGAGCATCGATCGAGTCTTCCTCGTTGCCCCGGACGACATGGAGCCACTCGCGCACATGAAACCCTTCATCGACCTCGCAGTGTCCAAGGGCGTCAAGCGCTTCGTTTTGATCACCGCGACGCAGGTGGACAAGGGTGGCCCAATTTACGGAAAGGTGCATCAGTACCTTGCTGATATTGGGGTCGATTACACTGTCTTGCGGCCGACGTGGTTTATTGGTACGTCCACGGTCGAAGTTTCACTTTCAGGGAGGAGGTATTGACAGACACCATGCCATCAGAGAACTTTGGTTCGTACAGCCAAGGCATTATTGAGAACGACGAAATCACGTCTGTCACCAAGGACGGCCGCATCCCGTTCATTGGCGTCGAGGATATCGCCAAAGCCGCCTTCGACGCGCTCGTTGCAGAGAAGAGCCCTAACACCGATTACTATGTCATCGGCCCAGAACTCTGGTCCTACAACGAGGTATGCAACTCTCCGAAACTCAGAGAATCCTAAATTGACGCAGGAGGCGTAGGTCGCTGCAGCTCTCACTGAAATCCTGGGCAGAAAGATCACTCACAGGAGTCTCACGGACGAAGAGCAAATCGCTTTCTACCAGTCCATCGGGTTACCAAAAGAATACGCGGTTCTTTTGAACGCGAGTGAGGCACGCGTTGCGGAGGGTGTAGAAGAGGCAATCGTCGGTAACCCGAAGGCGATTGTCGGAAAGGTGAAATTGCGCGACTACCTCGAAGCTAATAAAGACCTCTGGAAGAAGGCATAAGGAAAACACTTTTTAAGAAAAGAAATCGCCTGTATTATTGTACCACATCTGCACAACGGTCTGAGATGTGAAGATTGTATATCACTTACATATGGTTGCCTGCTTCTAGAGTCTTCAACGTTCTTTTAATTATTTCAAATTACGTCCCGACGTGTTCAAGGCAATGATTTTGGAGCCTCACGTGATCGTATTGACGTTCAGCGGACCGTCTTTTCGTTCAACCCGCATCAACCACCTTTCCAACATTCGTGACGCGAACTACTCATGATTCCACACCAATGAAGTCTGTTAGACAAGGAAGCTTGTACAATGACTCCAGCGACTCGTTCTCCGGTATCTCTCACCTCCAGTCGGACAACTACCGGGAATGGCACAAGTCACCCATCGTTGCAGTAATATTAACTCTCCAGAGATTTACAATACCACCAAGTCGGGGCCGCTGGACCTAGAGCAACGCACGGAACTGGTAGTGTGCACTCCGATCGTTGGCGGGCCTCTTGAAGAATGCGAATCGCCACGGATACTTGTCCGATGCCTACTGGATTGTTTGATCGGTGCGGATATGTCCTTCTCCTCGCTCTATTGAAATGTCTTCTCATTCAAGAAGATGCCATCTTCCAGGCCTTGCGAATTCGTTTCTCAAAAGCTTCCCACATCTTGACATCTCGACGAGGAACCTGCTCCGGCGACTAGGAAAGGAACGGCGTACAGCTCCAGAGCCCGTGAGCAGACATGATCCCTCGTTGTGCAGCGAGTACGTGTACCACCTTTCCTGGTCATGATAGGCTACTTAGTGTATTTCATAGTGAAATGCACTTCCTTTCGGACTACCTGAACGAATGCCATGCTCTTATCGTCGATGGCGATATAGCAGTACGGGGGAAAGAACGTCGAGTGCCCGGAAGGGATTATTCGGTAGGCGTCTAGCTTCTCCCCTGCGTATGTATAGCTCACAGTAATTTCAGGGAAATATTCCTTTCTTACCAACGCGCGTGCTGCGTCTATGGATGAATAACGAGCCTATTCTCCACACCACCATCGATGACCTTCAATTTTTTCCCTGGGTGTTATTGTGGATTGCCTTTCGCAAGGACCCCGCACATCCGGAATCTGAAGCAAGTCTGATGGCTTTGAATAACGATTCTCTCAGGAACGTCTCGCACACAAAGGCTGGGCTCATACAAGAAATTGCCGACAGATTCTCAATGTCCAGCCTCCCTCAGTCGGTGAGGGTCATCCGAGACCTCTTCAACAGATGGATTGACCTTTCGCGAGAAGCCACCGAGCAGTTGTTTATCCTGCTTGAGGGTGAGAGGTTTACGGGCAACAAGCTGAACTCGAACCTGCAGCTCCAAGCAGTGTTCGATGATGCTCTAGAAGGCATGACGAAGAAGTATCTGAAAGAGTATATGCGAGCTGCAGTGGATTTTATCGAAAAGGAAGACGTCGGGTTAGAGCTCTGGCCTGAGCCATCTGCATAAATTTGTGGTACGGATAAATGTATTCCGACCCCATCGTAACGGTCCATCGCTTGGACCACCTTTCGTCGTCGCCTACGCCCTCCGCTCACCCGCTCGCCTCACCCATTAATCCCCGACTCCGTCATTCTCAGTCCAGCCCACCTGTTCCGTTTAGTATCGTACGGCTCCTTTCTCTGTCTGCGGCCGCCCAGTCTATCTATTAGACCCCAGAGTCACTCACTAGGCTGCTGGAACTACAATCACACTCTGTTCATCAGCAGGCAGGCTGCAATCTCCACAATCTTGTTCTTTGCACCGAAAATTGCAGTGGAAATTGAATGTGTAAGGTAAGCTCTGTGTTGAAATACGTTGGCGTGTAGATGTAAATGACGATAAATAGGAATTCTCCCTTCAACTTCGGCAATTCGAAATCATCATGAATACCCTCATCATTGGGTGAGCATCGCGAGCTGGAGGCGCTTGCTCTATTACTGGGCGCTGCTGCTTGCGCACGACGCCCCAAAGCACGTCTGCGCTGTTGACTCTCCGGTATCTGCTAACGATGCGAGGGACCCCTTCCGTTCCAAAGAAGCACTTCGCTGAGACCCAAAGTTCGCCTAACACAACTCAAGCTTCGCATGCACGAAACGTCGGGTATGAAGCTGAGCATCGTTAAAGCAGCGAACAAGGTTATCGAGCGTACGAACCTAGCCAAAGGACCTGGCAAGCCTCTCGCCTCTGGAACAAGTAAAGAAAAAGAGAAAGAAAAGTCATCTTCGTCCTCGAGCCAAGTGTGGGCGTCTCTGGCACGGTATGATGACACGCTCGTCGATCTCCTCGAGGAGTGGGAGACGTACACGCGGGATTCAGAGGGTCATACGGTGCTGGTGAGGTGAATGCCGTGGACGAAAAAGTATGCCTTTCAGTAATCCTCTTCTGCATTTGCTAATCCCGCTCCTCAGGAAGGAAAAATCCATATATACTCTCCGACCGCTGTCCGACAAGCGCTGGGAGGGCCTTAAACACGACCTGCAAAAGAACGCCAGCAACGCCGAGCAGATGCTCGATGCGATCAACACTAACGCCGAAGCAGTGGGTTTATCGCGCTCAGAGACGAACTCGATGTACGACATCACGACGGCCGGCCTGAAGGCCAGTCTCGACCAGGGAGTCATCCTCGACGCAGGCAGGGAGATACGCGTCAAGCTCTACATGGGCCAGGTATTCATGGGCTGGCTCTGGTTCATCCCGACCTTCCACATGCCCCAACCACCGCCGACAGCTTCTACGACACCGGCACCAGACTCGCTCAAATCAACTCTCCGCCTCACGCGTAAGGAGCTTGACTTTCCACTCGGCCTCGGGAGCAGCATCATCGACGTCGAGACGGAGATGGAGTGGGTCGTTCCAGCGCCTGGACATGCGGGAGTTGAGGCGGTCGAGCCCCCGCTTCGCGCACGTACGGAGGATTCGAAGATCGGGACGGACGCAGAGCCTGTGCAGACTGGTATTGCGGCGCTCGCGCAGGCGATGGTGAGCGACCAAGAAGTCGAAGACGAGGGTACGAGCTCAGCGGGCATGGCGGGCAGTGAGTCGGGAAGTTTGAGAAAGGTCGGAATTCGGGAGACGGTGGAAGCGAAACAGGGCGCAAAGGAATAAACTCGTTAGTGCCTGTTCTGTATTACTCAAGTTCTATCCAGAGGCTGATACTGGCTTAGTAGAGTATGTAAAATACTCATGAGGTAAAAGACTTATAATACGAAGTCCACGTCCACGAATTCAGGACCATGACCAACCAATCAGCTTACTGCCTGATCATGATTTCCTTGGCATCGTGCGGCGTACTTCACAACCCTGCTATAATTTCCTTTTAAAGTCGAACTCCGATGCCCCAGGGAAAGCTTGTCCGAGTCTTGGCGCAGATCAGCTAAGCCGCCCGCAACTGGAAGAGGCATATTGCCAGTGTACCTGGTTCAACTTCTGTCTTCTACAAGGTCGAGGCGGGCCATGGCCTGTCCAGCAGTTGAGCCACAACAGTGCTCCGGCCGTCGACGATTTACTTGCTTCGTGACCTGTCTTGATACAAATTGAGAAAATCCTGAACACAGGGGTGGTTCTGAAGGCTGGAGCAAGTCAAATATCGAGCTTCTGACTTTGAACGGCAATAAGGAAGAGGGCCTTTTGGCGGCTAGATCGATGAGCTTCGCGCTTCTCCATAACTTATCGAAGATGCATGATAGTAATCTGCTCCCATGACTTGTCCGTATAACTTCACCGATGCCAGTATTGCCACAATGCCTCCGGTCCACACATAAAATTCGGCCTTTATTCCTATTTGCCATGGTGCTCAGTTAGCCACAACCATAAGATTTGCGTTGTCAGAAGATATATTCTCCGCGAGCTTTATCTAGTAGTGCCATATTCTGTCAATGAATCGTAGATTAAATCACTTGGGAACATTTATGTTATGCAGTTTCGAACAAATGGAGCCAGCCAAGAACGTGCTCGGCAAATATTGTGAGGCGCATTCTATTCTGTTATTTCCTTTTAAGCATGACTCGTTCCGGATGCGGCGCTCCTCCGAATCTTGGCGTAGATCCGCTAAGCGACTTCTCCACAAGATACGTATCACTAGTTTGCCTATCCAGAACTATTGGAACTTGAGAGGCTGAACTATTGTCTTCCACAAGTCACGGATCGAGGCAAGTCCAGCGACAACCAAGTTCGGACTGTAGATAGTGTACTCGATGACAGCGCTCGAGACACGCCGAAATACAGACAAAGGCCTAAAAACGCGGATGGAAGTAAATTCTAGCACTAGAGCATGTAAGTTGTATGTCAAACAGCGACGAGGACGGGCGGGGATCATTAAAGAAGAGAGTCTTTGGGCGCCTGGATTGACGAATGTTCACTTCTTTGGTTTGCGGTAGTAGCACGGGACAGGCCCCTGCTCATGTGTCCGTGCCAGACAACCCTATAAGGATTAACGACGCCAAATACTCCTGCGGGTTAGTGACCGTCCAGATATTATTCAGATGAACATTGGTCTTCAATTTTCACAAATCGTGAAGTGTTACATAGCCAGAACATCGTTTCTCAGCTACGCAAGTCATTTTACCGCTCTCACACTTGTTAGCTTTCATTACGACTGCCTCCAGGGTCCGAACGGGAGGCAGAGATGCCTATCACCCGATCCGCTGCAGCCGGCCACAAAGGTACCCCGAGATTATATTTTCTGTCTATAAAAGCGGCCTGAACAGCAGAGAGCTATCTACAAGCCAGCCAACGCAAAGCTTCTCTCATTAAAACAGCACAATGTCTTCTACTACTCCTAAGACTATCGCGCTCAACCCTGGATATCGTGGCTTCGTTGTCATCGTACGTTCCCGCCCACCGTTCCCCACCTCTGATTAATTATCGCCTCCGTTGCCGCAGGTCGTCCACGCCGATTACAAACAGCGCGTCTTCCTCGACGTGCGCGACACCGAGAACACCCAGATCACCTCGGCCACATTCGAAGGACAGGGTGCAAAGGCGTACGCTAAGAACACATTTAACAACAGGCTGCATTGGTCCTTCGGGCCGTTCGACTACCAGGCCACCATCTCCGTCAAGATAAACCACATGGAAGCAGGCAACCGCCTCGTCGCCTCCAAGATGTACGGACCGCTCGAGGTACGGGGTAATCTTTTGCTGTTGATCCTAGAAACACAGAATCACGTTGTGTAGGTCGACAAGCAGCCCGAGCCTGACTATCCGATTAAGTTCTGCCAATCGATGGTGAGTCCTCACTTTTCTCTAGAATAAGGATAACTAACGGGCGTATCGCGTTGTAGGTGTTTTCCGAGGATGCGAACGACAACGACCGCGACGATTGCATCGTTTCGGTTCTTCAGTACCTCCAATGATAAGCCTCTGGAATTTCGCACCGGCCCGACTCGGATGCGGCGGGCGACTCTCGAGGGCGTCGGGGGACAAAAATCTGAATTCTTGTAATGTGTGCATAAGCTGTTTCTCGATATGTAGTTGTACGTGTATTCATTGCGAAGATAACTGAAGAATGGTGACAAAGTTAGTGAAGATTAGGGACGACGCAAAAGCACGTGGCCTACGCGTTTGAGTTATTTGTCTCTATTTCTAATTCCCACATCCGAACGAGCTGGCCTCTATCCCCCACATACCTGCGACGACCAACACCGCCGGCGCGCTATATGGCGTCGACATTCCCATTCGTGGATATCCCTGGATGGCTGCCTGCTGTCTAGGCCACTCAAATTGGTCTCTCAAAGGTTTCTCACATCTCGACATCTCGACGGGGAACCTGCTCCGACGATTCGTAAAGGAACAGCGTAGGGATCCACAGCTCGTGAGCAAAGATGACCCCTGGTTGCGCAGCAAGTACGTGTGTCATCTTTCCAGGTTGCACCAACCCGCATGCTGGGCCGATGGATGAAAAACAAGTCTGTTCTCCACACCCTATGTTATCATCCCGGAGTGTTGGTAGTGTGGAGTTATGACGGACGTCGACGGCGATCGTTGCACTGCAGAGGAGCATTCGGACGTGTGGGGTACAAGGTTTCCGAGTAGTGGGATGGAGGGCGTACCACTCGAAACCTTATCCAGATGTCCTAGCCAACTCTTTCGTCACTTCTCAGAAAAGGAGTGCACTCCCGACTGGGGATGCTCTGGTGGGTTGGCTGGTGTTTACGATAATTATATTTCAGTCAGTTAGGCTCTTGTGGGACAGGCGCTACGTATACGCCCAATGCCCATGTCTTCTGCCTCACGTCAATAACGTGAATCAAAGTACGACATACTCACAAGAATATCCTTTAGCGCCAGACCGACGCTCTTGGTGTCATAGAAATCCGAAGAACCTTGTATCCCAACACACGGCAATCGCAGTGTAAAGAGCCTTCATCTTATCTTATCAAACATTTAAGCGCGTGACTTGTTCACGAACCACATCGTTGGGTTCAAACTTCAGTTCAACTCGACTTTCTACGTTTGCACCATTGACGCGAAATCTTCGACCGTCAGATTGCCGCAAGGTCACCTAGACAGAACCAGCACGATGGAAGGCCCGGTCGAGGATGAGAAGAAGCCATTTGACGCCGAAACCACCCAGGAGGACGACGCGCAACCAGATCCCGACGAGCATCTTATGCTGGACCAGGGAAATGGACGTGTGTGGCTCGTCAAGGTTCGTGAGCCATCTCACTCATCTCCAGGAACGGGCTACAGTCTCTTCGTTGCACTCGCAATGTAGATCCCCAAGTTCCTCATGGAGCGGTGGGCAGCTATCGACGTTGAGGACGTTCATCTAGCCACACTACGGGTATACAATCCACCTCCAGATGCGCCCAACCAAAAGGCGCGAATTGTACTTTTCCTTCCTCCCAACCGCGACCCCAATGACCCCAACGCCACACTCCCGCCACAACCCTCAAATCGACCTGCATTCGAGACAGCAACATCATATGCCGCCACGGGCCCCGAACCAGACTGCTACGAACTCGACATGGTCAACGACAGCGTGGAGAACCAGATCGTAGTCGCGGAACGACCGAAGGACTCTTCACTCAGCGTCTCATCCGCCACCGCGGCCGCTACGACCAACACACGAGCTCGTACGACGATTCTAACTGGTCGAATAAAACACGAGTGCAATCTCCGGCCTGCGTTCAGCGCAAACTACCGACGACAGATGAGGGAACGGCACAAGAAGTACAACACGCCTGCGCGCCAGATCAGGATGATAGAGGACGCTGGGGTGCCAGGTGGCAGAGGAGGAGTCAACAGACTCAGTAGTGGTGTCGGCGTCGGTGCCGGAAGTGCTTTCGGAGATCTCATTGTACGTCCTTCCGACTCCCTTCGTTTCTCTGCATTATTGTCGCAATCTCTGATGTCGTTAACTAGCGTACGAAACCGAAACAACCGAAGGGCACCTTCGAGCGCATGGCCCGTATGCCACGGAACCAGCTCCTCGATCAACTCTTTGCCCTGTTCCGCGAAACACCACGATGGAGCATCAAGCCTCTGCGGGAGAAGACACAACAGCCCGAGGTCTACCTGAAGGAGACTCTAGCTGAGATCGCCTTCTTGTATAAGTCCGGGGAGTATAACGGACTTTGGGAGCTGAAGGAGCTCTTTAGAGAGAGTGGGGTGCGTTTCTTGATTTCTTGCTGTTGGACCGGCGCCTGATTAGCTGGTCATAGATGAAAGCGGAGAACGTCCCTGGCCCAAGCATGTCCGGCGACGTCAAGATGGACGAAGATTACGATGAAGATGAGGATGAGGATGAGGACATGGAGGAAGTGTCATAACTTTCCTTGGACCTTTCCTCGTCGTTTGCGGCATAATTTATTGACCAGAGTGTATCATATTGGTAATGTCATTTAATAAATTCACATTGTCTGCTCCTAGACGCTGTCGAAGACTCGCTGAAGTGTGGCCTGCACTTCTCAAGTCTAAACGATCGATGTCCCGATTACTCGGTATGCTCCAATACTCAAGCGACCACTTCCTGGACATATGTTTCAGGAGAATGCGGACGCAACGGAGGGTGCAAAATCGATGGCGGCAACGAAGCTAGCTTCACACTTGTGGGTATCCCTGAGACAAGGATTTGGTTCTCCAGCGCCCTGGTCTTCGATACACCCGACTGAGTCGGACTTGCTCCTGGTCGGTAGCAACTAGAGGTTGTCTACATATCATTGGAGTAGGGTCAGTTTTTCGTTATCCGGGATATCGCAATGTGCTAATTTTAAGGCACCAGCCCAACCGATACCGATTCTTCAGCAGGAGAAAAATCCTCCCCGTCGGCGCCATATGAATGATCCTTGCTCACTGTCTTCCACGCCATCTCGCCAAATTTAACCTTGCATTTTCAATTTTTATGCACAAACCTCGCTTTTCTCCCTCTCCTGCCCAAATCCTCTACCACAGGCCTTGGGGTCGAAAAGGCTCCATCAAACGCCTGCTGGAGGGTTCCTTCCTCATGTGACACTGCAATACTCTACATTATCGATCAATTGAACACACAAGTGAATTCAATCTGGTAGGCGCCCTTCAGTTCCGCTCGGACAGCTGCTGCTGGGTTAACAGGCACTCACTCTACGGGCAGCTTGGCATGGCTCACTTGCAGATTCAAGACCTCAGTTGAGGCTGAATACATTTCTGCCAGCCAAGCGAATCCAGAAGCGTCATGACTTCAACGGAGACTTGAATTTGATGGGAACGCCAATCGTCTCGGGCACAGGGTCGCCCAGGCCGAGCCCGCGTTTTCGGGGTGTCGACTCGGAGAAACCCCGTTGCCCTTGAGTCGCTTCCGCAACGTTCTCCAGCACTTTTTCTCTCTTTCCGCTATCTGTCTGCGAACGGGATGACTTCACAGTGGGTCATGGTCGACGAGGCGGATTCTAGCGTCCAGTATGGAGCCGGATGGACTGCCCACTCGAATGTTCAGGACAATCCGGGAGACTGGGGGCCTCCCTTCGATGGAACGGAGCACACAGCCGATACAAATACGACTGTGCCGTTGACATTCACAGGTAAGGAGGACTGGCGTTAACATTGGTCCAACAGCCATTCATTGCTCTGTAGGAACGTCGATTATCGTTCTGGGCAAGCTAGACGGAAACAACGCGACTGGACGGCCGGATCCCTACCGGGACTGCATCCTCGACGGAGAGGACATTCCGAGATGCGGATATTCAACCAGCTTCACCGGCCACTGGATCTTCTGCAACAGGCAAAACATCCCTGATGGCCAGCATACGTTCACACTGACCACCAGCACCACCGGAGCTCGGACGATTTCAGTGGATCAGTTTCGGTACCTGGCCTCTCCGACCATCAGCATCGACAATGCGAAGGTTCAGATCGATACCGACTCTGTGAGGTATAGTCCTGGTTGGGAGAGCGATAGCAGGAATAGCCATACCTACCAGACAGGAGCGAGTGCAGTTCTTGACTTCGTTGGTATGTTTTCACCTTAGTCTCAGAACCAATGCCCCATCGTCGACAAATCCATCGATAGCCACACTCCACCGGAGATGACCGACCTCACCCGCCCAACTCCTTATGTGCAAGACGGACGCGACTCATCGACCGTGTACAGGCCTTATTCGCTGGATGCTCGGGCGAACCGGCTCAGTTGGCAAGGGTCACAGCAGGCGCTGGAGCAGGGATTTTCGCAGGTACAGCTGTTGAACCATTCGCAATCGAAGGTGGGGCTGATGCAGCAGGGGTATACCCGTATTCGCCCACGCAGACTTCGCCTCTCACGTCCCCTGCCGCGACGTCGACCGTCCCGACGACCTCCAACGCCGCCTCGTCGAGTTCGCGGCCTGACTCCGGAGAGTTACCTCCGCCTCAGTATTCTGACATTGCACCTCTTCGTGGACCTCCCACCGTCGTCCCAACTACGAAGGGGACGGTTCTCGCTCCTTAATCTTTCCCGCTCGTTGTAGGTGGGCTTTACACACGCACATGCATCATGATACCTAGTTTTCATGCGAAGATGTTATCGTTCCGCCTCTCAACCTCATTTTGGATCAATAAGTTGTTTTGCGCAAGCAGCGAACGATATCTCGACACTTTTCACACCTAACTTTGGTATTTTATCTCTACTCTACATACTTTCGAACATCCTACATTATTCTTCCTGCGTACTGAGGCCCCCCAAGGGGCAGGTTTTCGTCACCGAAAGATGTTCATTTACAGCCAACAAGTCTTGGAGTATTTCTGATTGTATATGCTGGGTTCACACTCGCGAAGCGCTAGAATCATTCCAGCGGATTTAACAAATGAGATTAAACCTGCAGCGATCGTCATTTCATTCTACCCATCACACCGACGATTAACGAGCTGCAGAGACATTATGAGAATTGCTATATTTCTGCCCTAGCACATCGATTAGGGTGTGGCGCTTGAGGGAGTGCTCGTGCGATTTCAATTCTTTCAATTAGGTTTCACTGATGATCTCGAAGATATTGTACAGTCCAAAAAGCCGGATATGTGAGAGGATGCCTCCTCTATGCATGTTCCGAGTGTAGCCAAATCATGCTAAAAGCTTCAGATCAGCCGGGTTGTCGAAAAAAGAAGCGAAGAGTGTTCGCACCTGCTCGATGTTTCCCCTTCTTCGAATGAGGCTGCTTCTCATAAGCATTAGGTTTATGACCGTCGGCGGGCTCGAGCTGGTGAACAGTCCCAGAGGGGTTTGGCCGAGACTGCTGCCCGCTCGAGCTGGGCCCAGGGGCAGGTACATGATTGTGGTTGTGGTTGTGGCCGCCGCAGCTCGAGTCCGAGTCCGAGTCAGACGACTCATCCGAGGATTCATCGAATTGTTCTGGTTTGTGATATATACAACATACTGAAAACGGAGCATCGTTAGAAAGGATTCAAAGGAAGGAACAGGGGTTTTAAAAAAAAGAAAGAAAGGCTCAGACATACTCTTCGATTTCTTCTTCCCACATCCCTCGTTATCCACTACATCTTCGTCCCAAGCTACCCTTGGTGCATCCCTCGACCGCCCCGCACGCACCCTCAGCGATCCAACGATCCGCCCTGAATCCGAGTTGATGTTCTCATCGTTATCGCCCTCTTCACGGGTCGGGTCATTTGTAATCGTGAATGTTCGCGAACCATCGGCTGGTGCGTACGTCGCTGGTGGCGTCCGGGCTGCAGATAGCATGGTGCGAGGGGATACAGAAGGGGGAGTTCAGATATGCGAGGAGAAAACGGAAAACGGAGATGGATGGTTTAGTTCAAGAGTGGCGGTCACTTCGCTGCCTATGAGAAGCCAGAGGAACTCGTTGGCGATTTGCGAAGGATGTTTGGGAAGGGGGGACCAGCCTTTGCAGTCGTCCCTAGAAAGACGGGTTATGACTGAACTTACTGCATGTCAAATTATTACAGTAACACATAACACATGAAAAAGGTGAGACCAATCACTGAACATGCACCAAATACGTAACTGAACTCCTCAAATATAGTTCCACGAGTTGTCAACATGTCACGTCCCTCGATTCCACACCAATGAAGTCTTCGTCTGCTGGTCAGGGAAGCTTGCACAGTGACTCCAATGTCTCGTCTTCCGGTATTTCTCGGCTCCGGTCGGTCCTCAAGCCACACATGTGGGATGACTTGTATGAGAAGATTGGAGAGGTGCAAGATACGACAAATTTGCCCAAGGCGTTGTTCCCAATCGAAGAGATTCGGCAATCCAAGCAGTGGATGAAGATCAAGAAGAATCTCGAAAAGACGTTCTTTCCGGTCGACTCTGCTTCACCCCTCATCTCGTCTCTTATCGCCTGCCAGAAAAAAGAGGAACGGAACTCGTATCCGCCGCTGGTCAAAGTGCTAAACGCAATCTTGAATCATATCCAATCGAACACTACCAACGAGAGGGAACTCGGTCCTCTGGCATCCTCCGCATTCCGTGTGTACGATAAAGAGGTTCGAGGAACGATTGATAGCATATCTGGGAGACTCAAGCCCGATATCCTTTGGCTCCTGTTGGACTCTGTTGAAGATGCGCGGAGACAACGGGGAGAGGCCGCACAGGTACTCATGAGGAGCTTGTTTTGGGCCCAAATATTCAGTACGGGCGAGGTGCAAGAGAGGAACACCCCGCTGCTCCAGCAGAACGCTACCTACATGCGGGCGCTGATGTCAATGGGAAGGTACTATACCTCCACCTTCGTCTACAACCACAAGCGGTCCACGTTCCGTTTCTGCTTTCACGTCCCATTTGCGGTGTACCTCACGAAGGAGTTCAAGATCGACGACAAAGAACATTTTATGGAGGTCGCGGAGATCATGTACGCCATGTGCAAGATGACGCGTTATCAGCTTGGATACCACCCATTCCTCGAATTGATCGACTATAAGAAACAGCGGGTTGCGCTGCCGCTGTCAGACCGCGGGTTGAAATGGGCCTCAATGATCCAGCTCTGTCGCCGCGTTGGAGCTGTGGGCCGTCAGACTCTGGCCGGTCGGTTGTCCATGATAGACGACGACGACGACAAACTTGCCTCTAAAGTGCAGAATCTCGCATTGAAGGATGCAATACTCCTGCAACCGCAGCAAGATATCGTCACCTTCCGTCGAGGCTTTCTACGCAAAGATGGCGGCCCTGTCGGTCATCCAAAAGTTCAATCATCTGGGGCTAGGAGATGTGCGTTTTGCCTTGACACTCTCACTTGATGTATTGGTGACATTTTTTGGGTAGCACTGCGCAAACCTCAACCGCGCGCTCTCGTCAAAACGGTCAAGTCCGAACCCATTCTCCTGGATTTCGGGAAGAAGCTCCCTGCTAAGCAGCTGCTCAAGTTGGAACGAACGATCTTGCCCTCTTTCTCATCACGGAGTGCAGACGCGTTCGTCGGGAACATTCTCGGCAACCGAAATGAAGATGTTTTGACGACCTGGTTAACGGGCTTTGGCAGTGTTGACAAATGGGATGGAGTCTTCCGACGATCCTATCCCAGTGTTAAACATGTCGATACTGAGATCCAAGCTTTGGACGCTGCGAGAGGAATGCACGGCCATGCTGAATACTACGTCTCTGTGCAGCTAGATCACTACTACCAGGACTGGTTCAAGACACCGCTCCATCGTTGCGGTGATATTAACTCTCCAGATGTTTACGATGCCGCCAAGTCGGGGCTGCTAGACCTAGAGCAGCGCACGGAACTGGCAGTGTACACTCCGACCGTTGGAGGACCTCTCGAAGAATGTGAATCGCCACGGATACTTGTCCGATGCCTGCTGGATTGTTTAATTGGTGCGGATATGTGCTGGCAATTGCTCTCGAAATGGCTTCTCATTCACGAACGTGCTATCTTCTAGGCCTCGCAAATTGGTTTCTCAACATCGAGACGTCTCTACGGGGAACCTGCTCCGACGATCAGTAAAGGAACAGCGTACAGATCCACAGCTTGTGAGTAAAGATGACCCGTGGTTGCGCAGCGAGTACGTGTGCCCCTCTTTCTGGTTGAGATCGATTACTTAGTATATTTCACAGCGAAATGTGTTTTCTTTCGGACTACCTGAAAGAATGCCACGCTTTCATCATTGATGCCGATCTAGCGGTACGATGGAAAGAACTTCGAGAACCTGGAAAGGATCGTTCGGTACGGTTCTGGCTTCTCACCTGCGCATGTAGCTGATAGTAATCTAAGGGAACTATTCCTTTCTTACCAACCCGCATGCTGGGCCGATGGATGAAAAACAAGCCTGTTCTCCACACCACCATCGATGATCTTCAATCTTTTCCCTGGGTGTTATTGTGGATTGCCTTTCGCATTTCGCAAGGATCCCGCACATCCGGAATCTGAAGCAAGTCTGATGGCCTTGAATAACGATTCTCTCAGGAACGTCTCGCACACAAAGACTGGGCTCATACAAGAGATTGCCGACAGATTCTCAATGTCCAGCCTCCCTCAGTCGGTGAGGGTCATCCGAGACCTCTTCAACAGATGGATTGACCTTTCGCGAGAAGCCACCGAGCAGTTGTTTATCCTGCTTGAGGGTGAGAGGTTTACGGGCAACAAGCTGAACTCGAACCTGCAGCTCCAAGCAGTGTTCGATGATGCTCTAGAGGGCATGACGAAGAAGTATCTGAAAGAGTATATGCGAGCTGCAGTGGATTTTATAGAAAAGGAGGACGTCGGGTTAGAGCTCTGGCCTGAGCCCTCCGCATAAATTTGTGTTCTTCGAGTGAAAGCTCAAGGCAAGTTTGATCATAACCGCTTTGTGTTTGACATGGGTACCCTGGAAAAGGTGTCTTGTTACGAACAGCAAGTCAGGGCGAACTCTTTCTCATGTGTTCTCATGTGCAACACCTGCATCTGTTGCACCTTGTCAACTCGTGTTCCTATGCTCGCGCCGTTCCTTGACAGGAAAACAACGTGCAATCTCTCTAACTGTTTTACCACAACAGAGGTATGCAAACGTGAATATAATAAAACAAATTCTGAATAATTTACGAGTGGTGCTAAGTGGAAGGAGATTGCCTGAGTTCCTGCCACAGGCCTAGAGCAAAGACGATCCCTTTATCCAGACGTTCTTATTGGCCTCGAGATAGTCACGCAACCTTCTTTTGCCAACAATCGCCTTTGGACTGCCAACGATTGCTTCCTCAGACCCCTCCTCAAGGCGAATCTCGCTGTCGCTCAGCAAGGTGGCAAACTCGTCCGACATTCCGAGGTACTTGAAGAGGTCTGTCTGCTGCTGGTGAGTAATCTGCTTGTGTGTTATCTTCCTTCCTAAGATTTCCGTCAAGGCGGCGGCTACCTGCCGGAATTATAGTCGACAGTTAGGATCCAGTTAACTCCACGTAAGTAGGAGCTGCTCTGAAAGGCGTACCCCGTCATAGGACCAGAGCTCTGGACCGATTACGTAGACGTCGGTGTTGGCGCTCTTCTCTGCAACGAGCGCATCGAACGCCGCTTGTGCAATGTCCTCGATAGCGACGAACGGGAGGCGGGCAGTCTTCGTGACCGATACGATTGAATCATTGTCCCGGATCCCACGAGCGTAAGTCACAAAGTTCTCTAACAATCGAAGGTTAGCTCTACGACTTGAACAACAACGCAAGTCACACCCATGAACCACGTCGGACGGAGGACGACATAATCGACCCCTAGGTTGGCCAGGTACTCATGCACCTTGCCATAGAATGGCCCTCCCTTCTCCGCCTGTGTCACGGTGATCAATACGAAGCGCTTGACGCCCTTGGTGATCGCGAGGTCGATGAACGGCTTCATGAGCGCGAGGCAGTCAACCTCATTCGGGGCGACGAGGTACACGCGGTCGATTTTGGTGTCAGCGTGGAACGGGTTCTCGAACGTGCTCGGTTCATGCCAGTCGAATTTGACCGCCTTGAAGGGTTCAGGGGCGACGCCCTTGCGAGAGGTGATGAGGATACTAGTTGGCTGCACGCAGGAGTCGAGCGACCGCGAGTCCAGTCTTTCCAGTGCCGCCGGTGACGAGGATGGTCATACTGGATATGAAGGCTGTAGAACAGACGTGGTGGGCAGCCGTTAGAGAAAGATGCTATTGAGTCGCCTGTTGGGAAAGTTCCCTAATTACTTATACTTCGAATAATCCATCCCTGAGACCTCGATGAATTCATGTGAATGGACGAACTGTAGGTGATGAAGACGGCGAATTGCCTTGGGTAAACGGGAAACTTTCCAAATGCGGCCTTGCTGATTCGGCATCGGGCTTCGAATAGGTCTCATGTCACCTTGGAGCTTTCAAATCCGTCGACAGGCGTCGGCCTCTCAACCCAGGAGTCAAGGCACTGACATTGTTTCTGCCCCCTATTCTCAACCTTGGGACCACAGCCAGTGCCGGCGGTACCTAGCCAAAAACGGTAAAAAATGCCAATCTAGTAAGTACTGCTTGGGTACGCAACCTTTGCATCTACATCGTGTACCCTTCCAAGTCGCGCCAGAAACGCATGCATAGTGCAGAAGTGCTGGCTTCTCGATTGGGAATCATGTGCAGTTTCGGCAAGCACCGGCGATTGATCAGCCGGTCGTCAACAAGTGCGCCACACCGGGCGCTTCATCAGCTGGGGTTGCTGAGTGAAAAACATAGTGTCATCGGCAGATAATAATATAAGTACCATGAACATCACGACGAGAAGTTTAACAGCTACACTATGTACCAGAACGCGAGAGAGTCTGAAATATCTCTCTGCAGAACCTACTGAGCAGAGACATCTCGTTGGGACGGTCTCGATCTAAAAGAGTCAAGAATAAATAATGTACGTCTTCGTTCTATCTGCCAAGGAGATTCATGCAGATGGATCAGGCCAGATCGTCAGCTCCTCTCCCTCCCCTTCAATGAAGTCTACTGCAGCTCGCATATACTCCTTTAGACATTCCTTTGTTGCGTCTTGAAGAGCTTTCTTGAGTTCCTTGTGAACCTCTGTGCTCGAATGGAGATTGTCGAGAGTAAACCTTTCATCTTCAAACACACGCGACACCTCTGCAGTCGCTTTTCGTGAGGCGGCAATCCATCTTTTGAACAAGTCTTGAATGGCTTGTACAGAGAGTGGGAAATGCAGCACTTCGGCTTCGTCAGCGATGTTGTCCATAAGCGAGGATTTCGTGATGACAACGTTCCGAACCGCTTTACGGTTCAAATCAGTCAAATGCACCTCGGATTCTCGGTGTTTTGGGTCTTTGCGGAAGGCGATCCACAGAAGGACCCAGGAAAAAGATTCAAGACGGTCGATCGTTGTGTAGATAATGGGTTCGCCACGCGTTAACAGACGCAGTATGCGGGTCGGTAAGAAAGCGATGGCTCCCTTGAATTGCTGTCAGCCGCCTGCACGGAGAAAATACAGCGATATGCATCCTTACCAAAAATTCCTTTACGTTCATTCGTGTTTCACTTAATGGCGCCTCTATTTCAACATCGAGGATGAAAGCGTAACACTCGTTCAGGTAGTTGGAAAGAAACTGCATTTCGCTGCGAAATTCTTCAACCAAATGTCTATGCCCAGGAAAGATGGCATACGTACTCGCTGTGAAACCAATCTTCATCTTTTCTTACTACCTCTGTGTGCGGACGAACTTCCTTTTCTAATCGGCGAAGTAGGTTCCTATTTGAGATAGCCAGTGGATACAAGGGGATGCCACCCGCCCTGTTGTCAGTAAGATACACTTTTGCAAAGCCTGAAGGATGGCGCCTCAATGCGTGAGCGAACTCTCCAGAGTTAGTGAGAGGTGAGCAAACGCACCGACCAAACAATCAAGCAGACACCGAGCAAGCATTCGTGGGGATTCGCAGCCTTCAAGAGATCCCCAAACGGTCGGAGTACAAACTCCCAGTTCCATGCGGTGGCCTGGTGCAAATGGCCCGCAGGAATCACCACAGGGGGGCAACTGCGACATTTCTAACGATTTGAGTTTCCCTGAGTAACAAGAGGGACGGAATAAGAGTTTTGGATGGGTTTTTTCTCGATCGACAATCAATTACGTCATGCAACCCTATCCGTCGAATGCCACTTTGTAGGGAGACAAGCATGCGGTCCTCCAAGAATAGAGTCGAAATAACAAAAATATGACCTGAAGAGTCAGGTAGAAAGATTTACTCATAGGCATCAGATTTCTTAGAGCTAGTAGCCTATAAATGGCACATAAGTGACTATAGCCAGTGGTTGACTCGGAACTGTTTACCGGGATGCCAGCGGAACTGGAGGACCGGCAGGAAAGGTGATATATCGAAACACCCCAGCTAGAAACAGACTCCTGCATCCCTTTGTCCCAACGGAAAACTCCTCGAAAGCGGTTCCCCATCCAGCCCTTTGGATTTGACCGAGAGTCGATGAGCCAATGTTACCATTCCCTCCCGTCCCGATAATAGCATAGTAATGATCTCGAAGGCTCGCCGGCACTTGGAACGCCGGGTGTTTGTTAGGTCCTCGGGACGATGGGTCTTGAGATGAGATGAGCAGCAAGATGAACAACGTCTTCTGCATTTTCTCCTCGGTTGTGCAGTAGATGTCGAGGGCCTGCAGAGCGTCATCGATAGTTCCGAATGTGAATAGTCTCGATCGTGGGAGGAGACTCTGGAGAGCCTTGTCAGATGAAAATTCGCGGTCATGCAGAATGTATGCCTCGGCTGCTTCGTTGGCGCCAATTAGAAGAACATGAGTTCTCTCGGCCTCGGCGCCTATTCCGTTTCTTCGCACACGCTCGACGTGTAGCTTGATCAAATTAACGTAGGTTCTCGTCATGGCATCGATAGTGCCCCCATACTGCATGCGAACGTAGTTACAATCGGCGGAGTGGCGACAGCGCTTGTTGAGTTGATTAAGGTAAGTGGTGACGATGAGGAAGATGAAAACGAACAGGAAGACGAGGATCGTAAGAGTCGCCTCAAAAGTTGTGATAGCGCCATCTGTCTTCTCGACGAGTGAGGTGATAGCTGCGGGGTCTATTGCTTGATTCAGTCGGTCGAGGAGGACTTCAGCTCGTGGTAGAACCTGGTCCATGACTGCAGCAGGGACCACCTTCCACTGATTTGGGGTACTGGTAATCTCGGTGATGGCATTCTCCGTGTTCCCAACGACCGACGCAATAATGGCGGGCTCTACTGCTTGGTTTAACCGGTCAAGAAGGACTTGGGTTCTTGGTAGAATAGATTCCATGATGTGGTAGGCGACCCATTTCCACTTATCCGCCGCACTGCTAATACCCATCATTTGACGTGGTCAGTACTGTAAAAGCAGGTTAGCGTAGGTTTAGACTAATAATTGGGAGACAGACCCCGTGTTATACGCGGTTAGTTGTACGTTGATACTCTGGGAGGGAAATGGCACGGTCAGACGGGCTTATTATAACAAGCTACAGCCCTCTTAAACGTGTCAGGTTCATTCCGACACAGTACTAGGACAGCACTTACATAAGGCCTCATGGATCGTGCATGCAACTAAATAATCAGAAATATGGCATTGATTTGGTGGCGGGGAGTGTGTCGTTGAGGAATGGAGGGTGCAGATTTTTTCATGTTCCCGAAGCTTGCGTGTTCGGCGCTTCATTACATAAAGCTTCGAGCGTCAAACGAGAAAAGGCGAAAGGAAAGCTTGGGAGTGTATAGGACAGTGGTCCGATCGGCGATGGGTAGCAAAGACGTAAAAAACGAACGAGGAGAAAATGGAAGATAAGAGAACGGATAATATGAAAGGTCATCAAATGTCCATCTCGACATCGCCCTCACCTTCCGCAGACACACCACCGCCAATTTGTTTTGCCAGACGCCGTTGCACGAGCCTAGCGTTGACGACAGTGAGAATGACCGTCTACAAAGCAAATGTATGCGCACCTTTGGAATAGATCCAACGGGGCTTCCATCCCAGGAATGCTTCCGTGCTCTTCGTATCCCGAAATAGGCACCCAGCTACTCAGAGGACTCGTCCCAGGCTCATAGCTCGCCTCCGCGACGTACAACAGTAGGCCATCTGGCTGTACCCTTGTCGTCATCGTAGTCGCCCGCCCATTGAACTGGAAACTAGGCTGGGGAGCGGCGTGTTGGTTGGGGTCCGCGATGCTCGTGGATCCATTGAAAGACGCCTGGAAAGTGAACGGAACTGAGGCGCTTGGCATGGGCTCCACCTCCATCCCACTCGGGGTTTCTGTTTCTGGAGGCACGGGCACGGAGACGCTCATTTCGCGTACTGTACGCGCCGCTGGTATTACTTCTGTATCCAGAATTGCAAAAGAGGTGTTCGCGTGATAGGGTACTGGGACGAAGGTCGTTGGGTAGGGAAAGCGGTACTTGAGTGTTTGCTCTTGCGGTACAGGGACGAAGTTGCTGTGTACAGAAGTAGAAGGCGGGACCGTTTGTGCGAGCTCTCCAAGCCGGGTGTCCCGCCACCAGAACCTTGGAGCCATGGCGTTCAAATAGCTGCTCAAATCAACGCAGATCTGGAGATACATACCGGAAACGCGCTTCACAGTCTGCAACGTCTTGCCCTTTCCACTTTACGACATCAAGAACGTGCAGAATGCCATTATCGCGCCAATTTACATCCAGGATGCAGTCCAGGATGGTCATTGGTGGAAGTGACGAGGGAAATGCCTTGATCAGCGTCTTGCCTAAAAGTCGCGACCGTAGAGTGGTATTGGGTACTGCAGAAAATGAATAAGAAAGGATGGAGAAGTATGAAGGTAAAGGCGTACCAACGCCTGCCACTCCAGCCGACTGATGCGTCACCGCCAGACACCTCTTCCCCACAGGAACAGGTGCAACAGCCACCCAGCCACCCTCCAAGTCGTTCGGCAGCCCATCGTCAACGATAGCACCGTCTCCAATGGACCAAGGGACATCTGGAGACATCTCCAGTAGTTCTGCGTACATGCACTTGTCCGCCCATTTACTCGGCTTGTTATTCCGCTTCTTGCCTTTGCGTTTCTTTGCCTTTTTCTTCGTCTCAGGACGATCTAGCTGATCCTGAACAACGGGCGCCTGAGGCTTGATGGCAGCAGGCTGTAAGGGGAAAGACGAAGAGCTGGGGGACGTGATGGCGTTCATTCGCATGGGATCTTGGGACTCTGGCACGAGCATGGAGGCGTATTGAGCAACAGAAGCTGGCGACACGACGTTGGTAGGTTCTCCATCCTCCTCTTCCTCCTCTTCATCCGAACCACCAAGATTCAGACCCGCGAAAAGGTCGAGCTGCCGGGTAGAGTCGATCCTCTGCGCTCTCCTCTGCGAACAACACGTAGAAATTCAATTCGCATAACGATGCTGTGACGCCGAAAACACGAAACTAACACGTTTTTGTTCCTCCAAAGCCTACTTTCCGAACGTCAGCGTGACTGGCATAATTTCCGACTCGCGTGCACGGACCTTGGTTCTCCGTGCCTCCTGGGACACCAACCTATCCATGATTGTCGTTGGCGGCAGCTTGTAGCTGGTCTTCCTGTCAGCGAACATCGTGGTACGAGGGAAAGGTATGGAAACCCTAACCCCAACGTTGGGTTTCATCTGATCTTTTCACTCTTTCCTCCGCTCTCCCAACATCTTATCTATTGCCTCGAAACTTAATCGATTATCTTTAGCTATTACCACCCATTAGAGCTTTTAATCTCACTTCAGAACATAATGGACGTCGATTTGCCATATAAACTTGTCCCTGTTGCCGAACTCCAAGGTGTGTGAGTTTGGATGCCATCCTTCTGTCGGTCTGACTAGCTTTTCCTCGGGTACAGGACATGAAGATCGCGCCTGGCATGTCGCATGGAACCCGAAGAAACCCACTCTTGCGTCTTGTTCAGCGGACAAAACCGTCCGGCTGTATTCCTACTCCTCGGCTCCATGTTCTCATTCTACCAACCTCGATGAAGCCAACACGAGTTCACATGCACACGAGCACCCTTTGAGGTTCGAACACATCACAACGATACCGACGGGGCATGCGAAGACTGTCCGTTCGGTCGCATGGGCACCATCTGGGGAGACTTTGGCCACTGCCTCATTCGACTCGAATATCGGGATCTGGGAGAAAGGCGAAGAGGAGCCAGACGAGGATGGAGCGACCGGTGACGGGGAGTGGGAGTGCATTAGCACATTGGAGGGACACGAGACCGAGTGCAAGAGTGTGGCGTACTCCAGCACTGGGACCCTGCTCGCCAGTTGTAGTCGAGATAAGACGGTATGGATCTGGGAAGGTGCGCAATATTCTGCATTTTCTTGGGAACACTACTCAAATCTTCGATGTATCTAGTCCACCCGGACGGTGAATTCGAAACCATTTCTGTATTGATGGAACATACGCAAGATGTCAAATGTGTCGGCTGGCACCCAACGGAAGAGGTTAGTACATTTTTCGTATTTGTCTCTCCTCCACTAAACATATTCAGATCCTCGCCTCTGCATCGTACGACGACACGATCAAGCTCTATATCGAGGACCCCTCTGACGATTGGTTTTGCTTTACCACCCTGACGGGGCACACCTCGACCGTCTGGTCTCTCGCCTGGTCTCCTGCCGAGACGGGCGGCTATCTTGCGTCCGCAAGCGACGATAAGACGGTCCGGATATGGCGGCGGATCGCAGAACACAAATGGGAGTGCGTGCTGGTGCTGAGAGGACATGAAAGGAGCATATATTCGGTCAGCTGGAGTAACGGGAAGCAGGCGGAGGGCTCGCATGCGTTAGGGTGGCTAGCCAGTGCCGGTGGAGATGGGAATGTGCTCATATGGGAGCTCTCAGTAGGCGTCCAGTATTCTCATATGCTTGATGCCCAAATTGATGGTCGAATACAGGAGCCTGCCTTAGAAGAAAGTTCGGCGATTGTGAAACCACCAACCCACAAGCTTATTGCGAACCTCAAGTCCGCACACGGTGTCCACGATGTCAATTCTGTCGTTTGGTGTCCACGGAAAGGTTTCGAAGATCTTCTAGCGACGACGGGAGATGATGGTTATACAAGAATATGGAAGATTGCCCCAAGTTGAGTTAGTATAAGTACCAATCTGCGTCCGACTGGAAGGAGAGACTAGGTGCGGCGCGTATGAGATGTATTGCAGCCATAAGTTACTCATAGTGACGGGAACACGAGCCTGAAAATGGCCTGCAGTCCGTCAAGACTCAAGAGCGGCATATATGGAGAAAAGATCGATTCCGAGAGAAACAGTCGATTTTGAAGTGGACGGATGACACTAGTCTTCCAAACTGGTTCAGGGGGATTCGGGAACAACGAACCATGAAAAAGGAACGAGAACTAGATTAAAAGTGCAATTCGTTTGCTCCATGCCAAACGTCTAGTTGTGCAGGTGCGCACCATCATCCTATCAATGAAAGTATCGCCTTCGAGACGAGACAGTCGACGAAGGCGTTCGTACCGGGCAACTCTTCCTCCGCCGCCAGTGAATTTGGATGTGCAGGCGTGAGCTTGCCGTACTCAGCGACTGTAAGCAAATCGAGCTTGGGTGGGTATTCGGAGTAGTCAATCTGGATAACGAGCTGCGCGTAGGGCAGAGAGGGGTATCCAATCTGGCGCAGGGAGGGCATGCCGACCCGAGCATAACATGCCTCGTCATGAGGAAGTTCAGGTAGCTAATGTTGGCTAGACTTATCGGGCGCTCTGATGGGGCTGTGGAATGAGGAAGACGTAGCCGGGGAGTAAGAGTCGTTTCTCTGGGTTATGAGAGCTTAATACAAACCGCCGGGCCAGGCGCTTTCGTTTATCTTGCAATCTTGTTTATGTCCTCCCTCTTTCCAATGGACGGATTGACATTGGGGGGAACAATAGAGGGCTAACAAGCAGTTGCTGAAGTCCGTTCGACAACCTGCCTTTCGGTACTAGGAAATGTGGTCAGGAGAGACCGGGTTCTCTGTCTGAGGTTTGACGCAGAGGGTGTCATGTGACAGATCACACTCATGTCTCGGCCGAATTTCTTATCTAATCTCCTTCTTCGCAACTTGCGATGACTCCAGTCGTCAGGTCTGCATTTTCTTTTCTTTCTTGTACTTTCTTCGGCGACCTATCATGCCTATCTTAGGCCTCTCACCATCTTCAACTCCCACATTTCCAGCTCATTTCGACATCGAGAAGGTCATTAGACCAAACATACTCTCACTACAACCTTACCGATGTGCTCGCGACGACTACAAAGAGGGCATCTTGCTCGACGCGAATGAGAACGCTCTCGGGCACTCAATTGGTACATCGAGTAGCGGAGATATCCCAGAAGACCTCCACGCGACCCTCGACCTCAACTTGCACCGGTATCCCGACCCTTCTCACCCGCTCATCAAGTCCCGCGTCGCCACTCTGCGCGGCTTAGCTGACCCCAGCGTGCCAGGGTCAGCAGAGGACCACATTTTCCTTGGTGTCGGCTCGGACGAAGTCATCGATCTCCTCATGAGAGTTTGTGTCAAGCCTGGGTCGGACGAGAAGATCCTCATCACGCCGCCTACATATGGCATGTACGGAGTTTGCGCACAGGTGAACGACATCGGTGTTGTGAAGGTGCCGTTGGAGCTTACGGGCGAGAATGGCGAGGGAGAGGAGGAGGGGAGGTTCAGTGTCCGACTCGAAGAGGTGTGAGCGTGTTTCAACCCGATTGCTCGTCGAAATGCTAACTTTGTCTAGGTCAAGAAAGCCGTAGACGCTGACTCCAACATCAAGCTTATCTTCCTCTGCTCGCCCGGAAACCCGACGGGCACTCTGATCCCCCTGAGCACCATTCGTAGCCTGCTCGAATACGAGCCGTTCAAGGGCATTGTCGTTGTGGACGAGGCGTACATCGACTTTGCCGGCAACCCAGAAGACAGCGCAGTGTCACTCGTGAAGGAGTACGCGAACCTGTGCGTGATGCAGACGCTCAGCAAGAGCTTCGGGCTTGCTGCGATTCGGTGCGTACTCCCAATCTTATTCTCGGCTCGCCGTTCCGAAATCTGAACTGTCTGGTAGCCTCGGAATAGCGATCGCGCAACCGCCGCTCATCCAAGTCCTCACCAACACCAAGGCGCCTTACAATATCTCCACCCCTACCGCGCACCTCGCTTTGTCCGCGCTCTCGGAGGCGGCCGTCGCCCTCATGCAGCGCAAGGTGTCCACGCTCGTCTCTTCCCGCTCGGCCCTTCTCTCCTCCCTCGCGAACCTTGCGTCGTTAGGTGTTGGGAAGAGCGTCGGTGGGAACCACGCCAACTTCGTCATGGTGCCTATATTAGAGAAGGGGAGCGGGGCAGACGGCAAGCCCGATAGCGCCCGTGCCCACAAGGTATACAAGGCGCTTGCGGAGGAGAATGGGGTTGTTGTGCGGTATCGAGGAAACGAGCCTGGATGCGCTGGGTGTTTGAGGATCACGGTGGGCACGGAGGAGGAGAATAGGGCTGTGTTGCAGAAGATGGAGGAGGTGTTAAAAGTGTTGTAAATATATTATTAGGCCTAGAATCTAAACAGTGTTGGCGTCTTTCTTGCTAGCCACATAGCTCCTTTGATCCTGTATCTGTGGGATCTGACACTACTCGATAATAGGTACGCCTGCTTGTTATGTGAGCTCACTCTATCGAACATAAAGTTCAAGCATCCAAACATTTCTTCCGAATGCTCTAGGTTGTTGTTCTCTCGACGTAGAGGTTCGAGCTCCGCGAAATAGATAATACAACGAGAATCCGATGATAATGCACCAGTTGTGGGTCCGCTGCGGGTCCACTGCGACTAATTTCAAACGAAACCCATAATGATGGAGTCTTTTGTTCGATCTTGCCTCTTCCTGAATAATGAAATGCCTTTTGTTTAACTGAAGTGGTAAAATCACTCCCGTATAAATGGAAGAGGGTCTGCGATCGGAGACCGCTCTCTTTCATTTTCCGCCCTCCTCCCCAACCTAGCCATGTCGAACAAAACCTCCGAGCTTCCATTCACAGCAAAGAACTCTCCACTCTATTCCTACAGCTCAGAATTCGGAGTTGACCTCCTTGAAAATATTCTGGATGTTGCAGAGATGGAGGCTCTTTTCCGGTGTCACTCTCTCATATCGACATGCAGAAAACTCTTCAACAAATTTCGTCCAAAGATAGTCACAGAGGTGACTATGCGCCTATCGACAAGTGATAAGGCCAGACGCTCTGCGTTTTTGTGCTGCCTTCAGCGGCTGCAGGAATGTATACGCTCAGGGCCGCAATGCCACAAAATAATGTCGATCGACAAGTGCCTCACGTCACTCACCATCGACATGTCGGACTGTCAGGCCACGAAGGAGAGCTTCGACAGCTACTGCAAGATGTTGCAAGACCGGCGCTTTGCGGATTTGCTGCACAGCCTCCATGGGCAGAGCTTCTCGATTCGGAAATTTGGTATCCTTTTTTGGGGAGCGGACGAAGCGAAGTACCGGTGCAGGATGTCCGACGACCTCTTTAAAGTGCTGGCTGGCTTTGCACGATCAAAAACTTTGCTGAGTTTGACTCTTGGGAATATCGAAGGCATTCCCAGAGTGCTACTAGGCGGACTGAGATTCGAAAGTCTCGTCTTCTGGCGTGTAACTCTTGGAGTCAAAACCGAAGACGAGATATGGTTCAACAACCTCTTGAATAACATGGAGTCCCCTGGGACACACAAACCATACCTAACCATGAAACTTGTGGACTCACTCCCAAAATTGTCCCGAGAAAAATTTATCCTCCCAGAATTTCCTCCCACTTCCATTAGACGCCTTTTGATCGACGTCACTAACGACCATACGATGCGGCGAACGGTGGCACTTCTCCACCGTTGTTATCACCTCGAAGATCTAGCGCTGACATTAACTCCCGACTATAACATGGGAAGAATGGCAAGGGGCTGGAACCCACTCCCCAGCTGGCCATCGCACATCCGCCTCCAGCGCTTCTGCATCAGACACAAAGTCCCGGAGCACAACACGGACGACTTCAACGCGGAAACTTTGAGTCTTCGCGCCCAAGACTCCCTCGTGCGAGCGTTCAACAATGTTTCTTTTCTGTTGGAAAGACCGGGATTGGAGATGGCATTCTGCAGACTGGAGAAATTGGAGGTTGAGATTGACGTGCGGCATAATTTCGAGGTCCCCGGACCTACGGACTGGAGCAGGCTTGACGACGCCTTGACGGCTAAATGCCTCAGGTCCGTTCCAGAGATCGTGGTGGTAATCGAGTGTCCCAAGGCCCCTGAGGATGAAGGGCGGGCTCAGTATGATGGGAATGCTTTCTGGAAGCGCGTCAGGGCCAAGCATTGGGCGACCGTTTTGGAGCTGACGCATCTGCAGTCAAAACTTCCCAAATTACTTTCAAGATCCCCACCGTTATTCACCGACATACAGATCCTCTGAACTGGAAGGGGAATTTACTGAGGTTATATATCAATCCGGGATTATGCGACTTTTTTTCGGAAGCGCGCAAGGGTCCCTAGTGCGCCACACTGTGAGAGCCCAATTTGGCAACAATCCAAGCACATAGTCTGTCAAGATGTTCACATCAGCTGGCCTGACCTGGTTGAGCGAAGACCGAAGATATCAATTGGATTCTTGTACATGACAGTTTCGCATATTGAATAATTACAACCATCCAATCATTTAATCCTTCATCCAAAGTTTCTTGTTCGCCTTGATATAGTCGCGCAACTTCACTTTGCCCACAATTGCCTTGGGGTCACCAACAATTGCCTCCTCGACCCCGTCCGCGATGCGTGCCTCAATCATGGCTAAGAGCACAGCATACTCTGCAGGGAGGAACATTTTGAACAAAGCGACTTGCTCCTCGTGCGTGATATGTCTGTGGGTGATCTTCCTGCCGAGAATTTCAGTAAATGCAGCGGCCACCTTTGGGAGAATCGCACGTCAGCACTTCTGATAGACGAATGCAGGTCAAATATTATAAGCATGTACCTCGTCGTAAGACCACAATTCCGGACCGATCACGTAGTAGTCGGTGTTGGGGCTCTTCTCAGCGACCAAGGCATCGAAGGCGGCTTGTGCAATGTCGTCGACGCCAATGAGGGGAATGCGACCGTTCTTGGTGACCGATACGATCTCGTTGTTCTCCCGAATGCTGTAGGCGTAGCTGCCAAAGTTCTCTGAATTCAGGGAGTCAGTCCCTCGAACTTTGAAACTATAATTTACGGTTCATAGGCCTACCAATGAACCATGTCGGGCGCAGGACGGCGTAATCAACGCCAATGTCTACAAGGTACTCGTGGACCTTGCCGTAGATCGGACCTCCCTTGTCTGCTTGCGTCGCCGTGACCAAGACAAAGCGGTTGACGCCTTTGGTAATCGCAAGGTCGATGAAGGGCTTCATGTCGACAAGCGGCTCCATGACAGTGGGCGCTATAAGGTAGACGCGGTCGATGTGCGCATCGGCCTTGAAGGGGTTCTCGAACGTCGAATGGTCACTCCAATCGAAAGTGATGGCTTTGAAGGGCTCTGGCGCGACGCCCTTGCGGGTCGCGATGAGGACGTTGTGGTTGGCGGCGTGCAGGAGATGCGCGAGAGCTAATCCGGTCTTGCCAGTGCCGCCAGTGATGAGGATGGTCATGGTAGTTGTAGACGAGTCTGGTTTGATCAGGGGCTCCGTTGAACTGGTGTGGTGCTTGAAGCTTGAAGACGAGCTCCTCCATTTATACCTCCGAGTGCCTACCCCGGCGCTCTACATGATAGGACTGACGCGTCCATATGGCCGCTATGGACGGGGTATACGTACGCGTCTCAGGAGGTCACAACTGCCATCCTGACAGCCCGCAGTAGACCCGATCAATGGATTGTAAAGCCACAGGCAATGGCCTCGGATAGTCGCAACTGTGCCGCGTTGGAACTTGGAGGAACGTTGGTGGCGGCCGGCGTGGCGGCAGGAACTACATACTCAAATAAGTCTGACAGAGGTTTTGCCATCATCAGTTTCGTTATCACAAGTGCCAAGCGTCGACGCGCGTCTGCTGGCGTACAGCCAAGGCTGGATCTACCGTCAGTCTGAAGTGTGGGATTTGTCCAGAACTAGCGCGAGTTTAAATGTAGAACAATGAATCTTGTGCTGGCTGGACTCTACTGTGCGGGAAATTCAAATCTGTCCATCACCTTTTGGGACGGTATCCTTTAGGAAGGGAAGGTATATGAAGTGATCCTTCTCCACCTCCCCAGAGAGGGTATACACGATTCTTTTGTCTTCATGGTCGATTTTCTGGATGTCGAGCATAACCTTTTTCAGCCGATTGAGAACTTCTTCAACTTTTGGGCCTCCATATCTGGCCCTGCGGTCTGCTAGAATTGATGCCCTGAGGGTTTTTAAATGTGAGAGACGGGAGAGTCCGCGGAAGAAGTTGTGCTGTGGACAGTAATGGGATCGTGTTCCATCAAAAACATGTTGAGCAAGAGGAGGCTGGCTAAACTTACAACTTTTAAATCGGTGGCTATCGATTGATAGAACACTAAGTCGCATGAAATTGAGCGTAGCCCAGGAAAGAGGGATAGGAGATCTAAATGTTGCTCCCGGAGAGCAATAAATTGAATTCCGACTTCCTCCAGAGCGGTAGCTGACGCATAGTCGCGGTACCACGACAAACTCCAATAGATTTCTGAGGTCGGATTCGCCTGAATGTTACGAACATTTGGGCACGACAATACCAGCGGAAAAGTGATTCCATCAAGCAGGAGATTATGGATTTGAGGATATGAATAGCCTTTGAAAGGCGTCTGTAAAGGTATTTCGCTCGGAAGGCTACGCGAAGAGTAGACAATGAGCTTGACTGTATGCAGATTGGGGAATAAAGTCATGCAAGAAGCGAGCTCTGAGAGAGTAGAATCGTAGGTGTCCGACTCGTCCGTCATCTGAACATTGATGACGCTACCCTCACTGATATGAGCAACAGTTATGAACTATGTAACGAGACACAACTCACTTGACAAACTTGGCCAAGGCAGGATCACATTTAGTGACGATCCCCAGTAGCCTAACGATCTCTGCGTTCAGATTTCTACCGTCACCCTCAGTCCGAGGGACAAGATCTCCCACACAAGTCTTGATGAGAGGCCCTCTGCGACACTCGGGCTTGGAGCCACAGACTTCGAGGCTCTGCCATACATATGGTCGGAGGAATCGACGCAGTTTGCGGCATGTTCGAGACAAAGCTAATAGCGTCTCGTGGCGGTTGGGTGTAGCATGAGAATCAGGACGATAGCGTTCGGACTCTTTGTCGAGAAGCGAGATTGGAGGGTAAGAGGAAATTATCTCAAGTAGAAGTTCGTCTGGTAGGGTAGACAAGCTTGGAATGCTGCCTATTCTCGCGGCTGGTGTCGACCACTGAGCTGCAACGGAACCATCCCGGTCCTCATTGACGCATCTTCGGGACATGACTTCCTCGTCAGTCAAGAATGAATGAGGATGTCAACGAAAATGAGGTATACGAGATGTGTTAGAACTTGTAAAAAGAGGGGTGTAGACGGGGACGGTGACTCGAGAGTTGGAAGTTGAAGTTGGAGGTCGGTGGGAAAACCTCTGGCGATGGCCGTGACATACCTGTCACAGTCACTTTCCTCAGCAAGAGTCCTTGCCAAGTCTGCTCGAGGACGGACAGGTCACAGAAGGGGATTAAATTTATCGATTTCCACTCCGAATTCTATTACCTCTGCCTGACCTGGTGTGTTGGTCAGAATTAAGCGAGAAAAACACCCTTGCATGCCCTCCTGAGGAAGGATATGGCAGATTTTCTCTGGGTTTGTGGGTAAAAAGCCAGGAAGTTGAACCCAGTTGAAATACGCACTCCGGAGTTGATGTGCCGTTGTAAACGATGCGCCACTTTCGATAAATCTGGTAATCGGAGACCTAATAGAACTGAATATCCTAGTAAGATACTTTCTTTGAAGGGCACATGGTGTAGTTGGTTATCACGCTCGCTTAGCATTTGCGATGGTTTGCGAGAGGTGTTGGGTTCAATTCCCAATGTGTCCATTCTTTTTCATATTCCTGAGATGAGCTGCTTTGAATTCTCAGAATACCATGTTTCGATGCATATACAGTGCCTAACCCTGTTTGCAGTATGATGCACAAAACTTAAAAGCGTGAGCTCGAAGGAGAGTCCCAGCTATAGTACATAGGTACAGAAAATTTGTGCATTGTGGTACAGAGGAAGAGAGGGAGCCAACATACAAAAATGAACTATGAGGTATCCATCTCATCTCCGCCAATTTGCGTGACCTGCTCGTCAACGACGAGGCTTCGGATATCCTCCTTCTTCCAGGCCGTTGTTCCTCTTCTGAACTTGTAATTGCGCTCCTTCTGCACACGTTGGTTTGGCATCTCGACGTTTCGCAGCATTTCAGTGCTGTTGGCGGTGATGATACAAGCGTCGATGTTGGATCCTGAACCAAGATCGTTGAAAATACCAGCTGCGATGGCGGATTTTACGAGTGCGAGAGCTTTATCACGCTTGAAGGATACTAAGCATGGGGTCCAAAAGAATAGAAAGATTGCAAGACAGACCTCCATGTCGGGAACCCAACCACTCTCAAAGACGGCCATGGCGGCCAAACTTCCTGACCCCATCGTCACGTAAGGCAGTTTGTCCGTTGAGCCATGCGGGTGGATTGTGAACAGATGTGCGCCAGTTGCATCAACACCACCGAGGACGAGTGCTGCACCAACATGGCCTTGATACCTAGTCATAAATAGTTAAAAATCGATCAAGGGGAGGTGCAGGAGTCCGACCTGAAAAGCATCTGCTTCAACATAGTCATCGCCGTCACGACGCGCGGTTTCCTCCCTGTCTGCAAGGCATGCATCTCCATGTTTGATGAGATGAGGGCGGTGGTGAATTCGGTATCGGCGGCCGTTCCTGCACCGCAGCACCGGATGGATTCTGTAATGTAGTGAATCTACATGGTGGGATTAGTCCGTGATCAAGATCGACTTGGAGGTTGCCGCACCTTCTCACAATTTTTATCCGCCACGATGGGGCCCTCTGTTGCTCGAGTATCGGCACCGAGGACGATTCCGTCTTTGAAGAGGCATCCGACTATGGTAGTTCCTGTGCTGGTTGCCTTGGGTAGCGGAAGTCCTTTCTCGACTAGGAAGTTGTTCCTATACAAACGCGTTTAGCATAGTATGTCTAGAATTTCATGAAGAAACCCACCGTAGCTCGTTGGAGAAGTCGAAACCTGCGGGCTTGTACATGGTCGTCGTCGGGAATAATGAAGGTGAGGGACCGCGTAAGCCCTCAGGCCTCAGGATACGCGTTCTCACGTGACCTACTAAGATAAAAGGGGATGCGACGAGATAAGATCGTCTTTCTCTAATTGGAATTCAATCCTTTCGACCTTGAACTAGAACCACCACCATGCCCGAAATACAGACGACCATTATTCCCCACAACCAAGAGCCGTATGTCACCCGCACGTACCCTACTGAGGCAGAACTCGATACGGTCATCGCGAAGGCTGCTGTAGCGCAGAAGTCATGGAGCGCTGTTCCGCTTGACCAGAGGATAGCTATCGGCAGGAGATTCACGGTACGATGCACCATCCCCCCTTTTCAAACAATTCTAACGCAGAGCAGGAGGAATTCAAGAAGATGGGGGACGAGATTCCGAAGGAGTTGTCGTTGCAGATGGGCAGGTGAGCTCGTAAAACAGGCTTCCTGAGGTCAAGCTAAATGTTTCTTAGACCCGTTTCCCAAGGTGCTGGGGAGATCCGTGGATTCCTCGAACGCGCAAACTACATGCTCGACATCGCTGTATTAAGCCTGGCCGACACCACCCTCGAGAGCACCGATAAGCCTGGTTTCCGCCGCTTCATCAAGCGGGCACCTTTAGGTGTCATCCTCGTGATTGCACCTTGGAAGTAAGTATTTTATCAGTCTTCCATGATAATGCATCGCTGAAATTTGCGCTTGAGTTTCCCCTATCTCGTCTCTATCAACTCGGTTTTACCTGCTATCATCGCTGGAAATGCTGTCCTCTTGAAGCCGTCTCCCCAGACGCCTCTCACCGCCGAGAGGTTCGCGCTTGCGCTGACGCGTGCGGGAGTACCGGAAAATATCATTCAGGTCATCCATATGTCTCCCGATTTGACAAATTCTGTGATCAGCAAACCTGAGGTTAACTTTGTTTCTTTCACCGGAAGCGTGCCTGGCGGCCGTGCTGTTGCAAAGGCTGCAGCGGCCGCCCCAGGCTTCACTGGTGTTGCGTTGGAGCTTGGTGGAAAAGACCCAGCATACGTCAGAGCTGATGCTGATCTCGATTACACAGCTGGGGAGCTCGTAGATGGTCAGTTCACGCAATCTTTTCTATGCTCCATATAATAGCCATGTGGTCGTCAGGTGCTTTCTTCAACTCTGGACAAAGTTGCTGTGCTGTCGAGGTACGTGTTTGCTACCGCTTGTGTACTTCCAATAAATCGGACCTCTTTCCCAGCGAATTTATGTTCACGAATCAGTTTACGAGTCCTTTGTCGATAAGGTCGTAGCAATTACGAAGGTGCACAAAACGACTCCATAATCATATTCCCCACTAACTCTTGAATAGACATACAGACTTGGCGACCCCACTCTTCCAGAAACTAACCTAGGACCAGTTGTCAGCCTCGCCAGTGCAGAGCGCATTAGGAAGCAGATCTCCGATGCGAGTACGTCGAATAGTTTTCTTGCTTCTTCCACGTCTTAATCTTTGAGCAGTCGCAGCCGGTGCGAAGTCGTTGATACCAGAGAGCCACTTCCCTCAAGCAAAGAGGTACGCATGGTTTACTAGTTTTGCCATCAGCCTCACTTTAATGCTGTCATGAAGCGGGACGACCTACGTTTCGCCAACAGTCCTTGTAAATGTTGATCACAGTAAGGATATTACTTCGTCCCCCCTCCTTGCTCTGACCTTTGTTTAGCCATGGAAGTCATGACGGAAGAAACTTTCGGACCCGTTGTTGGAATACAAAAGGTTTCATCAGATGAGGAGGCCGTCGAGCTAATGAACGACTCGATATACGGCCTTACGGCTTCCATCTGGACGAACGCTGAGAAGAACCCAGAATCGGAAGCGGCGTTCCTTAAGCTTGTTGACCAGCTCGAGACGGGGACAGTCTTCCTCAACAGGTGAGATGATTGAGTTGGCTATAGTGTATCGGTTCTAATACTTGTCTAGATGCGACTACCTTGACCCTGCTCTCGCATGGGTCGGTGTCAAAGACAGCGGGCGTGGTGTCAGCTTGAGCAAGTTTGGTGAGTTACATCTCGTTCTCTGTGTCAGGTGGGTAGCATCTGAGGGCCTTTCAAAGGATATGACCAGCTAACACGGCCGAAATCTGTGCACATGAAGATCAAGACGTCATGAATTGCTAAACTCGGGCTGAAATAGTAGAAGCGTGTTAGTATTTATCGTAATGTACTTGGTGAACGCAATCAAATAGGGGCCATTAGACGCGACGCGTTGTTTGGCAAGCATATCAATCCCAAATTTGATCGACAGATCACGTATTTTCTGCAACTTGACGCTGCATCGTTTCAAAGTTTGATCATCTTCCATCCAACTATGACGAAGCATCGAGCAAGTTGGCTCTTTCCTTGCATTTTATCATTCTCTCATCTCCAACTTCTATAGCCCAAAGGCAAAGGAGGCAGAGGAAAAGCCAAGGATGACAGGACAGACCTCATCGAAAGGGCCGACATGCAGAACGACCGTCTCTTCTCGTACTACAAAGCACAGAAGATCGTACCGGATGAGGAGTGGGACCAGCTCGTCGATGCGTTGCGCCAACCTCTCCCAACGACGTTTCGTGTTGCTGGAAGTCGACAGTAAGCATACAGTTTGGAGTGCTGGAGCATCGTCTCATCCGGCTTGCCTTCAGGACGGCCAATACGCTTAACAACACCATCAAGAACGTCCACGTTCCGAGCCTGGGTGACGTAGAGTTCGAGGGCCAGAAGATCCCACCGCCAGTCCAGATTCCTTGGTACATACGCCGCGTAGCCCTACCAGTCAGTACTGATTATTACAAGGTATCCAGATGGGCTCGCATGGCAATTCAACGTCCCGAAGAAGGTTCTCAGGAAGCAGCCAGAGTTCAAGAAGTTTCATTCGTTCCTTGTATTCGAAACTGAAGTCGTAAGTGATCTTTGAGGGTTCTATTCGTTTCACTCATGAAGCAGAGCACAGGGAAACATTTCACGACAAGAAGGCGTCAGCATGCTGCCACCCCTCTTTCTCGAAGTTGAGCCTCACCACAATGCTATGGACATGTGTGCCGCACCGGGATCGAAGACAGCGCAAATCCTGGAAGCTATCCACGCTCACGATACAATCACGTCCAGTTCAATACCCTCAGGGCTTTTGCTCGCCAACGACAGTGACAACAAGCGCACCCATCTTCTCATCCACCAATCCGCCCGCCTTCCGAGTCCAGCACTTATGGTCACCAACCTAGATGCATCAAACTACCCCACTATCAAGATACCCGTGACGAGAGGGAAAGAAACTCAGTTGGCGCCGTTGCTGTTTGATAGGATTTTATGCGATGTGCCATGTAGTGGTGATGGGACGATAAGGAAGAATATGGGTATCTGGAAGTCGTGGCAGCCAATGGATGGAAATGGTCTGCACAGGTACGCCCTGTTTTCATGATTCACTTTCCACATCCTGAGCGACATACGATAAGTTTGCAGGTCCGTATCCTCATTCGCGCCATGAAATTGCTGCGGAATAATGGGCGCATTGTCTATTCAACATGTTCCCTCAATCCCGTGGAGAACGAGGCTGTCATTGCTGAGGCTCTGATTGCCAACCAAGGTGTGTTCTATCTTGTTTTGTGAAATCAATCCTGATTCCTGCTAGACTTCGAATTAGTCAACGTTTCCTCAAAGCTTCCTGAGCTCAAACGTAGACCAGGTCTAACGACATGGCAACCCACCACCGATCGCACGTGTGCCAAAACTTTTGAGTCATACGAGGAGTTTATGGCTTCATCGGTCGACGATGTCGTGAAGGCGAAGATGACAGAAGGGCATTGGCCCCCAAAAGACGTTGAGGCGTTGAACCTCTCTCTTTGGTATGTCCATTCAATTCACCGTCGAAGCAGCATATTAATTTCGTTCTTCAGCATGAGAATATACCCCCACCTACAAGACTCTGGAGGATTCTTCGTCGCCATCTTGCAAAAAAAGAAGAGCTCCAACGCTAAATCACAACCGTGTGTCGATATGCCGTTCGCCGGTCCCATTAGCTGACCAGCCCACCTAGAGATCGGAAGCGAGAAGCTGAGGAAGGCGCTACTGAACTTCCAGACTCCAAGAAACCCAGACTATCGGAAGACATAGTCGCAAAGGAGGAAGAGGATCCCATTGCCTTTGAAACGACATCCGAGGTCGAGGCCGGAATTGACGAGGCCGCTGAAGGGATCACAGAGGAGCCAATGGCTGAACCAATCCCCGAGTCTGAGAAGCCCACACTGCCAGCAGCCCGCCCCCAGAAAAAGAAGGCACTGGAACGCGGAGAGGGCGGTTTCAAAGAGAATCCATACACATTCCTGTCTCCAGACGACCCCATCTTGCTCTCCTGCATGTACGTAACCTCTGTTTCACCTGGCCTCCCTTTGACCTTGCTCTCAGCGAGCGACTACACATCAATTCCTCCTTCCCCTCAGCCAACGTACTAGTGCGGAACCCAGAGGGCGAGGCAGCGCGTGTGCTATATCTGGCGAACGACATCGTGAAGACGATCATCCAGAACAACAACTACGAGCGTATCCGACTGACGTCGGCCGGAACCAAGGTGTTTGCAAAGCAGGAGGCAGGCAAGGGTTCCGAGGCACAGTTCAGGGTGCTGGGTGAGGGCCTTCCGGTAATCCTGCCTTACGTGGATGAGACGACGATCATTGAAGGAGATATGGAGAGTTTGAAAATATTAGTTGAGACGTACTACCCGCTTTGCGACAAGTTCCCGGAGAAGTTCAGGAAGACGGTCGAGGAGCGGGGTTGGTTCCTTTCCCTCCATCTTTGCAAAGTTCCTCATGGCCTTACTTCATAGTTGCTGGAAGTCATATTGTCCATTTCCCTCAAGGAACAACTGAGATCGCGAGGTGAGGCCAAGACCACGCTACCTTGTCATGATTCCTCACCTGTTCTTTCGTTCCAGCTTGACCCATGATCTTGTCCTTCCTATATGGAAATCGAATGTCTCCCTGACTCTCATGATCGACAAAAAGGCCAAAAGGTATGACCATCTTCTGACCTGTGTTCCCCATCTAATGCTGGTGTTTGTACAGTGCATTGAGCCTACGTCTCTTTGGTGCTGACATTACCACCGCTGGAAAAGAGGCACGCTCTGAGGCTATTAAAAAGGCTGAACTTAAAGAGGTGGAATGACAATCAATGTTGGTATTATAGTATGCATTAGATAGTCCATAGAATAGTGAAAAGTATGTACATGAATGAACAAGTAACTTGACAATGGATAGCAGGCTCGATAGCACTATTGATACATGGATAGCTTATGGTACAGTGATGAAGCATTACGATGCGGAAGTCTACAAAGAAGTGATGACGGATTGGAGCCATGGGTTGCTCTCGATCTGAGGGCGGAATTTTTCGAGGTGTTGCTTGAGGCTTTCGAGTTGAGCTTCAGGAGACGCGTCGTCCATGACTACGTCTTCATCAATTTGCTCCAGATTTTCGCTGGCCGACCAGGAATTGAAGAAGGCCTTCACGGTATCGATGCCTGAGTCAACGACCTCGGAAGAGAATGTTGTGTCTCTGGCATGATCTATGAGCAAGTTGGTCAATATTTTCATGGGAGCATTCAAAATGTTTAACCTTCATTGAAGTCTTCCAACTCTTGAGCATTCTTCCTTGCAAGCTAAAAAGGGTTTATAGGACCAAAGCCAATTGGACGATACACATAACCCACCTTGATGACATCTTCTGGGAAGTTAGCAAGTTCGGCGACATGAATACCGAAACTCTGGTCGGATACACCTAGAAGATGGTCAATGATTGCTCCAACTGACCAAGAAGCGGCATCTTTACCAGGTTCCACACGGTACAAAAGAGTGATGTCTTGGTCTCGAGTCCCCTTGTGCGATTCTGTGACATGAGCAACGACGTGGAGGTTCTTGACATGGGGGATTTGTTGATCCAGATTTGTGAGCTCGTGGAAGTGGGTGGCGAACATGCAGAAGGCATGAATTTGTGACGCAATGTACTCTGAAATCGCCCATGCGAGACCGAAGCCGTCATACGTCGATGTACCTAGACAACCCATTTAACGAGATGTGCAAAATATCCGAAATTATTTACCTCGTCCTAGTTCGTCGATGATGATGAGCGAATCCTTGGTAGCAGACTATATGCGCTACATCAGTCAAGAAGAGTAGCGCTCAGTATTCATCCAACTTACTCTGAGGATGGTTGCGGTCTCGAGCATTTCTGCCATAAACGTCGACACTCCCTTCAGTTGGCTATCACCCGCCCCCACTCGGCATAGGATCGAGTCGAAAACAGGTATCTGCGCCTCGCTGCAAGGGACGAAGCAGCCAACTTGAGCCATAAGGGCGATGACACCAGCCTAAAAGCTGTGTAAGCAGCGTGGCTTAAAGACGATACGACGAAGCATACTTGTCGTATGTAAGTAGACTTGCCACCCATGTTTGGTCCAGCTAGACGAAAACAGATCAATCTTCATGAAATGAAACCGAGGTTCCGAAATTTTTACTAATAATTTGAAATTCGCTTTTATCTGGGCAAGTTTATTGTCAGTAGGTAGAAGGGCATCTCGAGTTCAAAGGACAGACTCTTGATCATTTCAACATCATTCGGAATGAAGCTGATTCCATCCTGCATTTCTAGGCAAGGGTGTCTGGCATCCTTCAGAATCAAACTGCCAGAATCTGTTGTTAAGAGCTCGTAAGTGAAGTAAATTTAGGATATCTGATTTCTAGCATGCCTTTCTGCACTATTTTTGGCTTGATATAAGAAATCGGTGCGTTGACTGAAACATGCGCAAAACTATAAAGATTGTCAGGCAGTCAAGCGCAATATATGGTGGTTCATACCTCAGAATGACATCAAGATTTGCCAGAAGGCCATTTAGCGTCTCGAAGACAGGTCCATAGGTTGCTTGATAAGGTGTGAGCAAGAAACTAGGGAGCATTCGAAGAGGACAAACCTGCGATCTCAACGACTTCTTTGACAAGGCCGCTTTGCGTGCGAGAATAGGCAGCCGACGCCTCCTTGAAATCCTCTGCGTGTTGCTTCAGCTTTGAGGTCGTGAAATATACTCCGCTCTTCGTGGTGCCAAGCTCGATATACTTTTTCGACAGCTTCTTCGCATCCTACATATAACACAATGAGCTCCCGAAGACCAAGCTCGTAGCAGAGGAGTTTACATTTTTAGTAAGGCGGAAACAGTATCCATAGACCTGGTTGTTTTCGAGATGGAGCTTCTTGTCCAACTCCATGTCCAGGTCTCCACCAGCCTTGTGGTGCTCTGCGTCGAGGCCGTCGCGCACCTGTACGGATCGATGAGGTGAATGCATATTGCAGAAGAAGGAAGCTCACTTGAGAGAGCTTTTCCGCCAGTTCCTGCAGCCTGGGGTCATAATCCGGCTTGATGACATAGTTATGGTTGTCGAGCTCGCTCAAGTCGAGTGTCTGTTCCACCATCTCGCCATACTTTTCCAGACTTGTGGCTGATTCCTGAAGAAGATGTTAGCGTACATGATCCTTCCAGGGAGATCGCATCTTGCCTTGTACGGTTTCGTGAAAACTTCCTCGACCAAGCCTGAGTTGCCCTCTTCCTCACATTGCACACTCTCAAGAGCTTCGACCATTCCAGGCAACTGAAATGTTGCAAAGCCAATTGGATGCGTAAGACGTAAATGTCATACACCCCTCACCTTTAGGACAACTTGATATACACGAACGACATCTTCCAAAGAGGCGACACCTTTCTGGAACCTTTTGTAGATACGGTTGAGATCTGGCATAGCTTTTAGGTATTCATCCTACGAGATGGCGTCAGGAATGGGTTCCTGGCATCAAAAGCGAAGAACTAACCTGGAGAGTTCTGCGACTGTTTGTATCATCTACGAAAATCTCTACAAGGTTCTGGCGCTTATCTGTAAGGTCATGGTGAGGAGAGGCTATCCCGATACAAATCGAATGAGACTCACGAATTTCGTGCAGATTAACCAGGGGCTGCTTGAGCCAAGTCCCTAGCAGTCGAGAGCCTTGAGCCGTCTTGCATTTGTTCAAGATACCAAAGAGGGTCGTATCACGGCCACCCTAATGAAATAAAAGTTGATCCCAGCTGTCGAGAGACGAAGAGCAGAACCTACGGTCTTCCCCGGACCCTCGACCAAGTTCAAGGCTCGTAGTGCGCTGGCGTCGAGACGCATATATTGCGATAAGTCGTGGGTTCGGAGAGAGTAGCTCCCATGATTGCTAGGGTCGCTGAGCAGAGAAAGGTAGAGAATCAGCGCAGAGAGAGCAGATGGTGCTGTCGGGAGGGAGAGTTGTGCTGAGAATGTGTACGCATAAATAGCTGTTCCCTGTGACTAGTACGAGAAGAGGCTCGACGTACGAATGGTATCAGCAGCATCAGCAGTGCTTGACTGAGAATCGGTGGTTTTGAGAAGCCGGGGTAGGTCAGACGACAGGTTTTTCACTGTGAACTCGCCTACCAGAGGATGATTGAGGTCAGGAAGAATAGCGAAGAATCCGGGCTCACTGGGTTTCCTTTCTGTAGCAACCACACCGCATCGATCAAGAACTGCCTTCAGCTTCTTGAGGTCTACGTCGCGGTCCGTGGTTCCGGCGGTTGTGCCAGTGGGGATGATAGCCTCCTTGACGGACAACTGAATCACCAGAGACTGTGACGGACACATTTACGGATAGCTGGTGAGTACAAAATGCTGCACGCACCTCAAGGTTGGAAAAAAGGTCATTGTCGATGAAATCTGACACGCCTATTTCTCGCCCCGTTGTGTCTGCAAATGCAACTCCAACAGACCTGAGCCTTGCGGAATCCATTGGAGCAGTCGCCAGCTTAATGGCCATTACAATTGGGGAAGATATAATATCTGAGTTCATAAAGAGGAGGTCTTCTACCGCTTGTAGGTTACCCGGAGAAGCCTGAGCACGAATCAGCCTTTGCGCAAGGTGCAAAAATCGCTGACTCACCTCTTTGTCCAAACGAAACTTGGGGCATTTCTTGCCCTGACCAGCTTCAGGTACCCAAATCTCCACGCGGAGCTGCTTCGAAGTCAAGGCATCTCGAAGAAGTGAGTGTGCGACCGATGTCTTCAAAGCAACGCTTGGAAGCAGACGTGCTCCAGCACCAAGATACTTAACGACAGAGTTGGTGTGAAATACGTGCTGAGCAACAAACGTTGCGTCGGGACCATAGGCAGCCCAAAAATCGTTCGATGCTCGATAGAAAAGGCGAAGCGTCCCGGTTTCGGGAGATTTGGGTGCGAGGCTGTTGAAAAAAGTGATGAATCCCGGGTCTGTGTGGTCTAGACAAGTAAACCGGTGAGTAAAAGAAAGGACATTGACAAATGGAACATACCTGCAGTTTGCTCTGCGTCTTTCTCCTTCCCGTACATTTGTGCCATGTTAGTGGAATGGGTGGAGTTTCGGTCGACAGCCTGGACACGCGGTTAGAAGACACGCCGCGTCACATCACCTGACCTGGTCACACCAGCTTATGTACGCATCCAACGCTATCCTGAGTAACAAAGGTATTAGTCGATTGTTGGGCATATGGTGTAGTTGGTTATCATGCTTGCTTTGCATTTTCAGCGATTGCAAGAGGTGCTGGGTTCAATTCCCAGTGTGTCCACTCCTTTTTTCTTCATTTTAGCGGCGACCAAGTTACGGCTGTGGCAGGTGTTTCTCGCGGTCGTTGTAACTGACACAAGCTGAACCGTGACTCTTACGCCTTCTTCCACCTCTTGCAAACATGTCTTCGTCAGAATCCCTCTTTTTCACCCTCCCAAAACAGATTCGGCGTGCCATCGATGGGGCTTTCGACGCGACAATCAAACCAAACCAAGTTTCCAAGGCGAATCGTAGGACACCGACTTCAACCAACACAGCTACTTCAAGCGGCGGCGGATTTCTTGTCGAAGAGCCAGCCAGCGGTAGCTTCCTCGTAGAAGACGACAATGAAGACGACTCTGACGCTGGGGATGAGCTCGCTCAGATTCCCCTGGAACTTATCCCAGCCGCGCTCCAACGGCTCGACCTCCCACCAGACGACGACGAGGTTCTCGCTGTGTTCAAAAATGCTGCATCTGGCTGGACCTCGTCCTCCATCCGACCCTCACAAGGCGACAACCCCCACGAGGAGACGTACGTGAGCAGAAGTGATTGGCGATCTGTGTGTGCCGTCTTGCTGGAGAACAATCCCGAAGAAGACGATGCCGAGAGGGGCGTTCCCATGGACGAAGACGAAGACGATGGAGCAAGTGACGAATATGTCGAAGAGAAGTCAAGTCCTGTGGAGGATCTTTCTGGCGAGGCGTCCTCGGATGAATACATGGACGGTCCAGGAAAGGCGTCATCTTCCAAACGCCAAACGCGTGCAAGAAAACGCGCTTGGATATCTTCCCCCATTGCAGATTCTTCCGTCGACAACCTCCAAAAGCTGACCAGCCGACGGCGGCAAACTTGCTTGGCGACGTTCGCGTTGTTCTTCGAAGGCGTATCCTCAGAGGAGCTGATGATTCAGAAGATCATGATCAAGGATCTACAGAGGGTCACGAAGCTTCTCAACGAGAAGCTGAAGGCGGATGAGGTGTGTTTCTCGTGTTTCTATTCGGTAATCTAACGGGCTCGAACATATCTAGATGATTGAAATGCTGGAGATGTTTTCCACCTCACCCGACAAGTCGATGAGTTTCGATGATTTTTGCAGGATGATGACAACAGCACGACTGGCATGACGCATGCATGCGATGTGTTTACGGTAGAGGAATATTGTTTTACTCCTAAGCGACAAAGACATCCCCATGACTAATGTAAGGCGCAATCATTTCCATTCTCTGGATAATGCTGCGGCAGAATGAGGCCGTATGTCAGGCCCGCTGGTGCCGGTATGACTCGTCTTTATAACCAGTCTTTGGGGATTCGGAGAAACCAAAAACGCCTCCTCGATGTCGCCGTCAGAGTCGCCTATAAATTACCCCCATGCTAGGCTTCTTGCAAAAAGCTCAGGTACTCTTTTCCCTGAAATTCACCAGATGGCTCCTTGCACTGATACAGAAGCAGAGGTGGAAATAGAACAAGCAATTACTGTCCTGGATGACGCTTTCAGAGGCAAGTAGTATCTCGACTCGCAGATCGCGGAACACTACCTAACACTGAACCCAAAGGCGATTCATTCACCGACATACTTACTGGCGGTGACCTCAGCCTATCCCGACCCCAATTCAACGCGATGCTTCGTGGGGCCTTGATTGGTGGGCAGGTCTACGTCATATCCATAGGTCCAAATGCTACCGACATAGTGGGCGTCACGGTCTGGTATCCTCCTTGCAAGCACTCTATGAGCACGTATGTTGTGAATCTCACTCCCGATCATTGGGTTGTCGACTTTTGGTCTCATTTTGCAGCGAAGAAGAGCGTGCCCAAGGTTGGAACCAATTCATGGAATCTATGCCTGAGAAACTTAGGATCTGGTTTGCGGAGCATGTCTGTCTGTTTTCTTGATTGAGCCTTTTATACCATCTAAAATTCTCTTCAGTTCCGCCCGAGGATGTCGGGTTTGGCCATTGAGGCTCTTGGCGAGGAGCAGGCACTGAATGCATGGCATCTCCAACTCTTTGGTGTCCTGAAGGCCTACCATGGGAAGGGTTACGGCAGGAAACTATACGAGGTGGTGGAGTGTCAGGTGAGTGCTTTATCCGAGCCAATTTAACTCTGTGTGCACTCTGCTCCTATTTACTCTATCTCGCAGGCTAAAGCACAAGGAGCGCTCATGTATTTAGAGACGACGACCGAATTGGATGTGCGTCCTCTCCATCACTGTTTCACGATCCTTTATCTCCTCCTGACAATCCAAAACCCTCTACGCTCTCCAGGTCAAGATATATCAAAAGCTTGGCTTCCATGTTCGTTCTGAGGTCTATATCATCAACTGGATTGGGACAGGTCATGTCCGTCTCATGATCCAAGAGACGAAGGGGTCGGACGTCAAAGAAACTTGAGACGTACTCTGATACTCATGGCTTGGAATAAACCCGTCCTGGGGCGCCATTGGCCAGATTCGGTGCGCGGGAGAAGCGAGGCTCTTCATGGTTGGTTGTTTGGGTTGGCAGCTTCCATCGGTCCCGTCTCTTCTTTTATTGCACTGCTGTCCAGGGCGGATAAATGTCAATCCTCCTCTGCTATGAATGAAATAGAGCCATGAACGGACAATTTCTGGACGCACAGCGTGCTTTCAGATCACCAGCTGATAAGATAAGATTACCGGATTGGGCAGCCAACACGTTTACCTCATGGTTGTCCGCAAACAACCACCGTTGCCGCTGCGCGCTCAAATGCACCGATACATCCGTCGTTTTGGGGCAGGCGTATGTTCCCAGCGCCCACAAATGGGTCCCCAAGACTATCAAGAAGGACAGAAGACGACAGGTTGATCATATCATGGCCATGTCAGCGCCAATACAACGGTCTTGCACCTTTGAACGCGCTATCCCTCTTTGTCTCTGCTTCTTGGCTGTTCTCCTTCTTCAGAAGCCCTCACCCACACGCAGTTGCATCGAAAATTTGTTCGCTTTCATCCTCCGTCAGGTCGTTCAACACGAGGCAACGCCTACATAGGGCCGCGGCTTGTCAGTGATCCGTAGGGTGAAAGAACCCTGAATAACGCCAATTCATTAAATACAAGCTGCCTTCCTTCAGTAGCCGTTAGATCGCTTCCCCCACTTCGCAGGCCCTCCCACCATGCAAGCCCCTTCTCCCTCGCCGCAGGGCAAGAATGCAGGAACCCTTGGCTTCTCCTCTCTGGGCTCCGACGCAACAGCCGTTTCCAATGCCCCGGTTGATGAAACTGGATTCAAAGTGCCCTTTGGGGAGTCCGGAATTGAGGCACGACGGGGTTCAGAGCAGAGTGCGTCCAGTGCTGGTGTTCAGTCTCTACCGCAGCTGGCCTTTCATCCAGTGCGTATTCTTCCTCTCTACGCCTTCGTCGACAAGAGACCCCTTCACTTACACCTCCTGTATTTAGCCCCAAGAACAAACCGTCAGATTGGACAACACCTACGCGATGCAATCTGCCAACGATGCCAGAGGCATCTCGGACGGCGAGCATGTCCAGTTCGCAAGCTATCCAGATGAGAAATTTGGTGGGCCTACACTGGGTACGTCGTCGCCTTCTCGTCGTTTCCGTACGCCTAAGAAACCTCTTCTATCAGGCCCAGCTCCCAAGACCCCTCCTAGTCCCCAGGCAAGAACCTGGGTTCCACACCCGCTCCGGCCTTGGTTTTGGATTCCTTTCGTCCTTTTCCTGCTTGCCGGCGCGATTGGCCTCGAAGTTGCCTTGCACTTCAGCAACCAAAACCAAGGTGGGCGATACCTCTGCTGCTGAAGGCTATTCCTCATCAACCTTTTTTCTCCGCAGGCTGGCCGTCGGGAGACACGGACAAGCAATCCTTGGCTCTTCACTACGTATACGTGAGTTCTCGACATTTTTTCCCTTCTGATGCCGAAGCCTGACATCCGTGTTCGCAAGACGTTACCTCCCGTCATCGTTGCTTCCATCGTGGGTCTTCAAATGCACCAGAACCAGTTAGAGAGTCTGATGATCATGAACAGCTAGTGGCGATGTGGGCGTGGACTGATGTTGAAGTCAAAAAAATCCAGGTGGGCCGCTGACTGTGTGTTATTCGGTGTCGATTAACATTGTGCAAAGCCCTACGTTGATCTGGTCCATGGAGACGCGCCCCCACACAGAAGTTTACTATTGGATTACACGCGGCACAAGTACGCCTATTTATGTCTTATATCGGGCCCGAGTTCACCTTCCATCGTAGCAATTTCTTCGTTTGGACTCATGCAGCATCCAATCGTCACTATTTGGTGGCCCTCGCATCGTTGATGGTTATTCTTAGCTTGAGTTTCCAACCTCTTGCTGCGGCTCTGCTTCAGGTTAAGGACACCTGGTGGCAAGAACCAGGTAAGCCACAGCTGTTCATGGGCCTATTGAATGGCTCAATTGAAACTTTACAGATGTGTCGATGAGTAATCGTGCCGTTATCGGCCTGAACCAGGACCCCCAATTTCAAGATTTGACCTGTGTGTTGTCTTCCCAATGTGATCCAAACTACTTCTCATCTGTTCCGCGTTCTTAGATTTCCTCACTGCGGCAGGATATTCAAGCTCCATGGTTATGTACGATCTTGCGCCGCCAGCATTTGTCAAGGCTCCGTATGCCGTCGCCCCATTCGAGGTCAAGATTTTCAACCTCTTCCTATATTATCGATGCTCATATTTTCTTCAGCTTCCCACCACCGTAAAGAATGGAACTGCTTTTGCGAATACGACTGCAATCAAGAGCGAGACTGGCTGTGAGGGTGCTCGAGTTAACATGTCTCGTCATCCCGATGGTTCGGGATGGACTAACTCAGCTTCTCTGAATGGATGCGAAATAACCTGGGAGGTAGATGTTAACAGCAGGATATTGTTCGGTGGGTCGAAAGTCTCCGCTTTTTTTGTTATTTCCCATTGCTCGTCTCACACCTCCGCAGGAACTGATACTCCCACGTGTACGGACAATCCTCCTGCAGACCGCAGCCCCGTCGTTTTCTGGTACTTCTCCTACATCCCTGCTGCTCGTGCGTCGGCTACGTTCTGCTACCCGAGGATATCCCTCCTCGAAGTCGACGTCGGCGTTGATGTCGCGACCGGAAATGTGACGAGAGTTGCCGAGATTGGGCCCTTGTCGTCTTCGAATTTCTCATCTCAGTCGGGCACTGTAACAGGAGCGCCGCTCTTCGGCCAGGCGTACAACGGAATCAACTTCAACTTCACGACTAACCCAGATCGATTCATCTTGGCTAGGCAGAACGCCACCCAGCTCCAGCTACCTGCTGCAGTGTTTCAAGCTGCCACCCTCAGCGATGCGGGGTTCTCAGATAGCTTCGATGGCACAGCACTAACCACACTGACGGATGAGATTTATGTGAGTGGTCACTCCTTGTGTCACATCTCTCACTGATCCTACTTCCGCTTTCAGAGTGCCTATCTGTCGCTCGTCGCCCGCAGTGTGTATTTCGTCCCAGACTCTCAGCTCATCAACGTCCGAGTTAAAACTTTCAAGAAGCGTGTTTGGTTAACGTACGCCGCTTGACGTGTGTGCTTGTACTGTTACCACATTCTCATCCCTTTTTTCTCTCTAGTGATGTCGCTGTCCATCTTCTTGCTACGGCGATGATCCTGCTCGCCTTCTTCGCTACTATTCTCCACCTCTTCCATCGTGAGGAGCGGCGCGACCTCCATCTCAAGCACGAGCCAGGGACTATCGCCTCCGCCGTCTCCATCGGGGCACAAACTGGCGTCGGCGAAGTCCTCGCTGGACGACATGCCGAGAAGGACATAGCGGAAGCGCTGAAGAACAAGAAGTTCCGCATCGACCCTGCTACTATGAAGATTATCATGGAGGGCGAGTTCGGCTACGAGCAGGCCAAAAGCCCGCAGTACCGTCGATCCATCTTCGCGATCAATTCAACACGCCGCAAGCGCCGAAGTACGATGCCTGATGGAGAGAACAGTCCGACCACCTCGCCTCCTCGAACACCCAACCCCAAGTCTCCGACGACGCCTAATGCCCCTGGAACTCCCGGAAGTCCCGATCGCAAGGGAACTGATGCTGCTGGAAGCCCTCTGCTCCGCCCCAACCGACGCGAGACTGCGTAAAATCCATTCTTTTTTCCCTTCTTTTCAGTTTTTCCTGGAGACACAAGGCAGATCATATTTTCTATCTTTCGGCGCCTCTCTCATTAATTATTTCGTTCTCTCATCTCATGCACCTAACCGAACGGATTGGTGTTGCATGTATTTTGCAATGTATTTATATTCCCTTTACTCAGATGCTAGCAGTCCTCCTATTCACGTATACATTGGAATACACATCTATGCTGCCCTCGAACCATCATTGCGAACACGGGGTGCTTTTGTTGTTAATGGTGACTGGGTCCATATCAGCTACTGCCGCTGAGCACGAGATAGAAAGGCGGGTCGAGGGCTACTTACACTTTACATGCTTTACAGTTCATCATAAATGATGCAGTCAACCAATTCTACATAAATGCCAGCGTAAGCATTCGCGTCTTGAGCTTCAAGCTTCAAGTCGAATCTCTCTGCGCCCTGTCCAATATCGCGGAAGTCTCGTTACGGTGCGTGCATTGCCATCAACTCGGCCCTTTTATGTACTTAACGGTCATTTCAAGCCACCATGTCGCTCATTAGCGATACAGAGTATGTCGTCAGTCCATGGTAATCTTCTGTGCTGACAGCCTTGTCCAGCTTCCTGATACACAGTCTGAGACTTTCGTACCTGCGAGACGTCGACGACCCGTATGGTCCGCGAGTAATCTCCCTCAACCCTTCCTACCAATCGAACCCATACATCCTTGCCGCTTCCCTTGGCGACCCCGAGCGATGGCCACAATTAACCCTCCCAACAAGCCCAAACTTGAGCGAAGACGAACAGGAGCGACCGCATGGGTTTCCTGGAGCTCGCCTCAAGCACACTGAGACGATTATGGGCGGCCGGACAGGTGGCCTTGGATTGCGTGTTAATGCAAAGCGAGCATCGACATCCAAGCGTGCATCCGGAACTCCTCGTCAGCTGGACGTGAAGAACTTCCTGTCGGAGAATGCCCCCGTCCAGGAAGCGGACGGCGTCACAGTGCCTATCGCGAAGAGCGTCGCTCGGTCCGATCCTGGAGACAGTTGGATTAAGATCCAAGATTCCGACAAAGAGGGCAGCAGCTCTCCTGAACCGACGGTGCAGATCCAGCAAGCCACCGCTCCAGAAGAGCCGCCTGTCGCCAAGGTCGTCCAGTTCATCCCAAGATTCCGAGGGGCAGAACAGATGGAGGCGCGTCGACAGCTTCGTATGGCGGCACGTAGACGTCCAGGAGGTCCTGTTGCTGCACCACCGCCCCAGCAAAACCTTAGTTTCGATTCCTCTTCCGAAGAGGAAGTCGAAATTCCGGTCATCAGTGAGGGTTCTTCAGACGAGTTTGACGACGATGGGGCGGCAGCGGGCGACGAGATGGATGAGGGCGATGAATTCGATCCGTGCGTTCCTTGCCATTTCTTATGTGGCAATACTCATGTCATTTTTCTAGCGAATTTGCTGCCACCCGTATTACAGGAACTTCAGACAGCGCATCAGACGTTACCTCTCTCTTTTCCGCAACCAGCTCTATGCCAACATCCTCCGCCGTGTCTTCCTCTCATACCAATAACAGAACAAGAGCTCGATTGAGTCCCGTTTCAGAACATGCCGGTCGCGCCCACCGTGCCCACTCTAACACGAAACACGAAGATGGCCAGCCAGCCAAACGACCTGACGGACTTGTAGGTCCATCACGATCTCGAGGCGACAGCACCTCCAGCCCGAACGCACAGGCCACCTCCCAAGCGCCTTCCTCTTCTGACGCTATTATATTTACACGAAAGAAGGTCACGCCTATCAAGCCTCTTAAGTCGAGCCTTTCTGCGATGCTGGCATCCTCCGGCGGCTCCTCCAACCCCTTCGCAGAGATGTATGCAGCAATTTCGGGCAGAGGGGAATCGGCATCGACAAATGTGCAGCTGTACTTCCCTCATGCACGAGAACCCGCAGGCAAGGCCATGGATTTGAACGTGCGACGAGACGCGACTGTGGAGGAGGTTATAGGCTTTGCTCTGTGGAATTACTGGGAGGGAGGCTGGCTACCTAAGCTGAATGAGGGCTTGAGTGGTGAGGATGATCCCAAGTGGGCAACACGTGTTTCTGCAGTTGGTTGGATCTTGAGGATTGCAGAGGAAGATGGAGAGGTAGACGACGATTTCCCCCGTAGGTCTCAGCCTCCAGAGCCCGGAGAACATGTCCTGATTATTACTTCAGCCCCAGATCGGACGGGCAAGATCACGAAGTTCAACTCAGATGCGTATGCCATCTTGGAGGCTACGCCAACGCAGGGTATGCACTACTGTCATTGCGTAAGATGACCAGCACGATACTGATATTGCCACCAGTTCAACAAAACCAGATGCTGGAAACCAAAATCCAGCGTCGGCCCTCGCGTACCGCGAAGAAACCCGAGAAGCTCAATCTGCCCAATCCCAATCTACCTGTTCTCGCGCCTGGAAGTGCAGTGTACGGTTCGACCCTTGGTTCAGTGCTGTCAACGTCCTTGGGCCCATCATCAAGTCATGGCCCGCAGATATTCTTGCGTATTAGGGTCGCTGATACTGCTGATGCTGTTCACATCTCCACAACAATACCAGTGTAAGCCTTCTCTTCCTCACGTCATTGAATATCCCTACTGATATCAATCAGATCTGCCGGGATGTACATGCAAGAAGCCCTCGAGCTTGTATGCAGGAAACGCAAGCTTGCAAACCCAAACGACTACGCGCTGTTGCTTGCTGATAGGAGCATATTGATACCATTGGATCGGACAGTTGCAAGTCTCCAAGGAAAGCGGGAGCTCCTGCTCGTAAAAAGGAGTATGCTACCACAGATGGGCGCTGATATCTTGAAAGGAATCGGGAGGACTACAGATCCAAATGGTATGTCGCCTTTTGATTCAATCTTGGACGTACTGGCTGATTCTCGCCGGCAGCATCTATCTTCAAGAGGATGTCCGATACACCAGAACAACAGTACTCCTCTGCGCTCGACTATACTGCTGCTTACAAGGTTCGTACCTGTTCTAAGTTTCCTCCTTCACTCACTGATTTTGTCCAGAAATATACTATCTACCGCAAGATACCTATGCTCGTCACCCGGCAAGAGCGTAAACTGGCCATTGATGGAGTCTACATCCACATTATGCCGTCTGCAAACAAGGCAAAAGGAATGTTTGAGAGTGGCCGGACGTCATCGTTCCACATCAAGAGTATCGCAGACTGTCAGCAGAGTGCGAAGACATCGGCGATATTCAAGCTGGTCTTGAACCGGGCCGCAGGGAACAAGAGGTATGATTTCGAAGCAGAGAGTCCAAAACTGGCGGGTAAGTCGATTCTTATCCCAATGAAAGACATTGGTGTTGAGGATTCCTTTTGCAGCGGAGATTGTCCAAACTATTAAGAATCTCAAGGCTGCTTTGGAACGCTCTGGTACTGTAAATAAATCAAGGAGGAGCCGTCAGGTCGTCTAAGAAGTTTGGGCCAGGACTGTTGATATCTATCTCTCTTTCCCAGTTCGTTCTATTGCTGTAATTGTCGTCATCGCTCATCGCATTGTAGGAATACCTATCCCATCTTGTTGTTGCATGTACCATTACAATTGGCATTGAAGTTCACATCGGTTTAAGAACCCCCGACGGGAACTGATCTGATACTCTGATCGATGGGAATTTATTCCCAGAAGCAGTGACAGCTTGTCGATCGTGTTCTTCCACTGTCATCAGATGCCTGTCCATCTATAGGCTAGTGTGTCCGGATTAGCTTGCTTATCGAAGGCTGAAACGGTGGAACCACCTGGCTGAACAGCCAGGAACGTGAACATTCCAGCGCGTATCAGCATCAAGTCTCGTGGCAGCTAAGTAGCGGAGGTCAAGAATTCAGTCTGCGCAGCTGTATAAAGATCTTGTCATAATGACTAATGGTGAGGCCTTTACCCTTTCTCTCTGATTCTCTTTTCTCTCTCCCTTGCATTCCTCATGTTGTCCGAGAAATCCAACAGATATCTCACTGTTGTTGTCGTTGGAGGAGGTTCAGGCGGTGTCGATGGTCAGTACAGCTTTGATCTTCCGCGAAGCGCATCAGCGCTCAACATTCGATGCCTTCACAGTCGTACTTGGCCTGTCGTCCAAGCTGAACAGGGCGTTCCACAGGCTGATACTCGTCACTGCAAGACCACGATACTTATTCTTCCCAGCCGCCCTTCGACTTCTAGCAAACGAGAATGCTCCGATTAGTTCCATGTACATGCCGTTCGACAACATTTTTGGCACGTTCCCGGGTGAGGTCAAGGTCGGGACCGTTACATCAATTGAGGAGAACAAGGACGCTGCCGCGCAACGCGGTGGGTTCGTTGTTCTTGACAGCGGAGAGAAAGTCATCTACGACGTACTTGTCGTCTGCACCGGCTCTTCGTTTGACGGACATCTTGCGTTTCCGAACGACGAGGAAGGTTTCAAGGAACATGTCACGAAATGGAGGGCAAAGATCAAGGAAAGTAACGATATCGTGATAGTCGGAGGTGGAGCTGTAGGCATAGGTGGGTTTCCGAGTCCGATTCAGCTTCCGTTTCGCCCACATCCTACTCACCCTCCTCCATTACAGAGCTATCCGGAGAAATCAAGGACTTCCACCCTGTGCGTATCTGTTTGGCGTGCGAGGCTGCAATAGCGGTTATCACCTGCCTAAGCGAAACTAACCCTCCGCTTGTTTTTTTCTTTTGCCAGATGAAGAACGTAACGATCGTCCAAGCGAACCCTCTGCTTCTCAGCGACCTGTATCCTAATAGATACCGGATCGACCTGGAGAAGCGCCTTCGCAGACGCGGGATCAACATGATCTTTGACGAAGCTGTCGGCAATTCTGGGGAGCACCATCCAACTCTCAAGCTGCGAAGCGGCACCGAAATTCCATGTGATCTTCTTGTGAGTCTTGTTCCAATCATTTATCCAAGCTTTCTTTCCTTCTTTTCCATATCCGCTCAACAGGCTGGACTCACGACGTTGATAGATCCCTGCCCGTGGTGGCCGTCCATCAACAACCCCGCTCAAGTTCATGCGTCCACCGGTGCTCACGGACCGGGGGTATGTCAAAGTTGCACCGACCCTACAGGTCGATGGACACTCCAATATCTTTGCACTGGGTGATATCATCGACTGGCCGGAGGCAAAGCAGCTGATGAAGATCATTTATGGGCACTCGGAGGTCGTTGTGGCCAACGTCATGCGCGTGCTGGAGGGAAAGGCGGCGAACCGGGTGTACAAGGGAAGTACGGAGATGTTGGTCATTACCAATGGACAGGTACGTCTGTTGACCTCTTGAAACGAGGTCGATGATTGTTGATCATGTCTGTGCAGCATGGAGGTGCAACGTACCTCGGCTTGTGCTATGGCTTCACCTTTGGTGATTTTCTGACCCGCCTCGCGAAATCGAAGGATGTCCTGGTAGGAAAGACGCGAGCTAAGATTGGGCTACCCGCCAAGCCTTGCGAGAAGGATTAAGTCTCTCTTTTCATTGTAATCCTATGCACCTCAACACTCGTTCCATGGCAGCTCTTCGTTCACCTTTTCCTTGGCATTCTTACAGCCTCCAGTTCAACGCACCCCCTATCCCTTTGCATAACTTTTCGTTTCTGATTGCTCTCATCCTATCATGTTATGTTGTACGGGGATCGGATAATTGTAGGATAACGACCGAGTATCACTTTATAATATAATTTATTATGTAGCCAGTTTGTTAAAATGGGCAACTATTGATCGATCATGAATGTGGGAGACTGCAGTGAGGATTGACGCCAGCGTGGTAGCTTTCTGGCCGGAAACCAGAGAGAAAAGACATGCAAGGAGGGCACATGGTGTAGTTGGTTATCACGCTCGCTTAGCATAAGTAGTTCTTGGTTTGCGAGAGGTGTTGGGTTCAATTCCCAATGTGTCCATGGTTACTGTTTCTGAGAAGCGTCTTGATTTTTGTGGTTGCGGTTGCGGACACTCGTCTTTTTGCCAACTTTTTGCTTCCAGGAAAATTGAGCCTGACATGGACAGCCCTAATGCATTTCCTTCCGGGATATCAAAGAGGTAGTCAACCATTATTCTCTTGGGTTCCATTTGATTGGGATGAACCCTATCCTGATCTCCCTCGTTGGGATATGCGCCACCATTGACAAAACGGTCGATTGTGATCATACCATCAAGAACTCCATGATGACGTAAGATGCAGGGCGTATGGTGTAGTTGGTTATCATGCTTGCTTTGCACACTTGTTTGTCGATTGCAAGAGGTGTTGGGTTCAATTCCCAATGCGTCCATTATTTTTTCCTTTTCCCTTCTATCTAGACTGTCTTCAAGTCAGACCTGTGGACAATGACCACAAAGCCAGTTGTCTACATCGGCTCGCAAGAGCTCGCCAAGGTATCTTCTTTCCCATTCTGCCCAATTCTTGCGCCATTGACATGGTAAAACCTCTATTATTACACGTAGATTTCTTCGTTATTACCCTCCAATCGCAAGCGATCAATGATTGTACACTCGCTAGTCAACGCGCTGGGTCTCATGAAACCTAGTCACTTGAATTCGAGACCACTGCAAGTTGTGACCCCTCGTAGGGCAACGCACAAAGACCTAGCTGTGTACCATACCCGCGATTACCTTGCGGTGGTGCTCGATCCGAACAATGCAACAGCTCCCGAGAACGACGAGGAACGGAGCTCGGTCAATTCAGAGTTTGGTTTGGAAGATGTAGATATCTTTCTGGATCTAACGGTCTCCAGCTCTACCCTGAAAATGACATTGACGGGTTTGTTTTCAGGATTGCCCACTTTTCCCTGGTCTTTCAGAGTATGTCCAGATTGTCAGTGGCGCGACTCTCACTGCCGTGAGCGCTCTACAACAACATATCACTGACGTTGCTATTTGCTGGGATGGTGGGCGGTGTGGCCTACTTTATTTTATTTTCTAAGGAGACGATCTAATGAAGTACTTCACATAGACACCATGCCCGGAAATCCCAAGCGTGTGGATTCTGCTATGTTGCAGACTGTATTCTAGCAATCTTAGCTCTGAAGCGAGCCATCCCACCCTCCGTCTCAGCAGCGGAAGGTAGCACCGTACAAAGAAAGCCACGAGTTATGTATCTCGACCTCGACTTGCACTTCTCCGATGCAGTATCCGAAGCTTTTTTGCTCGCAAATTCTCCCACTACGCCACAGATCCTTGTTTGTCTCCTATTAATACTAATTTACCTGAACTTGCCGCTGAATCACGAGTTAACAGACCTTGAGCATCCACCACGCATCCCCAGGCTTCTTCCCTGCCTCTTCCCAAGCCAAACTGCCCAACATCAACTCAGACTTTGACCCGTTCACCCTATCCATTCCTCTCAAACAGGGCGCCTCTTCCTCGACATATGCGAGGATATGGCCTCTTGTCGAACGCGTCCGAAGTGTGTTTACACCGGACTACATCGTCGTGCAGTGTGGCGTCGATGGATTGGCTGGGGACCCCTGTGCGACGTTCAACTGGTGCTTGGGCGGCACGGAGGGTTCACTGGGGTGGTGCGTGCAGAGGATCCTGGAAGAGTGGCCGGGGAAGAAGCTCCTTCTTGGGGGAGGTGCGCTTTCAGACGTGAATTAAGCCTTGACTGATGGAATCTTGAAAACCGTGGCAGGAGGGTACAACTCCCCAAACGCTGCCCGAGCATGGGCATATCTCACTTCTATCGCGGTGAGTGACAGTCAAGGCTTTTTTTCGACCGCATTCATGAATACGGAAAATTCGGTAGCTTGGTAAACCTCTGGACCTAGAAACAGAGATTCCAGACCATGCCGGGTTTCCGTTGTATGGGCCTTCTTTTACAGTGAGCCTGAGCCTATTTCTCCAGCGTCTGCGAGATTAATTGATTATTTTTTTCCAGTTGGATATCCCAGCAGGAAACATGACAGACCATAACACGAAAGAGTACCTGGATTCAATCGAGGTGTGCTATGAGAACGTCATCCTCGCGCTGCGAAACAAGCTGGTGGGGTAACCAATTACCCTGTCGAAAATTCAAGTCAAAATAATTGTACATTGATCCTTTCATTTTATTCAAATGAGAAACTTCAATTTTTGCTTCACCCCAGACCCGAACCTCTGATCAAGGATGCGTATTACGACGCAGCGAACGTCAATACACTCACACTAACAGGTGGCGCGTTGTAGTTGAACGTCTTCCCAGTCGCAATCGTGCTCGTGGCGGGCACGACGGCATTTGGGTTGCTTGGAGTGTTGCTTGTCGTAGCCCCTCCAGTAAGAACCTGGGCGGTTCCACTTGAAGCAACGTTGGCGAACGGGAGAACGAAAGTCAGCGAGGCGACCGATGTAGCCGTGTTCGAGATCTAATGGAATAGTTCAGATGGGACGGGGAATGAGTCCATGAAGGGATTAAACCTTGGTGATGATCTGGTTACCGGCATTTTTGCGAACGACACTCCAAAAGAGGGTTCCGGTTCGAGAAGGCAAGGTGCTCGGAATGTATGCCTCACCTCGATTGAGACTGAACAACTTGCGATGATGTCAGGATTCCGAATATCATTATAAAATGCGGAGAAAAGCACCTTCTGAACGTAGAAGCTCGTAGATTTGTATACTGCGCCAGCGCTACATCGGTCCTCAGAATCTGTGCATTTGTCGGGATCGTGAGGACATACTCAAATGCAAGGAGGTTGGGCGTCTATTTGTTACATGATTAGCCCCTCACAACACCTCAAGGAGAAAGAGTAGCGAACCCATTGGTTGTTAGTGGCGTGCTGATGGAGGAAACATCAACCAAAGTCATTAATTCAACTCAGAAGAAAAGGCCGTGCCGTACTCACGCCGATGAGAGGAGCATACGCCGCAGCGAAGCTAGTCAAGGATTATCACTTGAGAATAACCCCGGATCATATTCACCTACACGATGTCACTGTTCCTTTCCAACCCAGTCATGAAGGCTGCTTCGCCTGCAGCACCTAGACGTAAGGAGCATGATACAGTCAATGTCAAGTTGATGGCCTCTACAAAAAAGGTTTTGTACTTTGCATAGTCGGATAGACCAGTCGACCATTAGAAGGCGGCCCGAAGATATCATTCGGATTGGTCGAGATCGCCGCGTATTCGCCCTATCAGGGAAGTCAGTTCAAATAGAGTATGCAGATCTAATCACATTCGTGTGTGGCGCATGCCCCGATTAATACGCGTACCTCGAAGTATTTGGTCCCGTTACGCTGCGGATCGCATGAATTCGTCAAAACTAGAAGAAGGGGGGAAAAGAGGCGCTAACCTGAAATCCATCATAGAAGAAGGAGTTCTGGGCGAACCAGGCTGCTCATCAACCTTGATTAGATCCATAG